TTTTTAAAATTTTTAAATATTTTTAGTTAAATAACTGGTAGTTGAATAGCTTCAATTTTAAAAGACGCGAAAAAACGCGTGGGGTGACTGGAGTGCTTACATGACTGGACCGCTTACCGGCTACATTAATTGCTTTAAAATTTTAGTTAATTTTATCCCCTATCTCCCGATTTCACCAAGTCCAATATTTATTATAATAATCAATTAATATAATCAATCAATGCAATCCAGCTACATGTTCGATTCTTCTAGTACTGCGCCCCTCGTAGCCGTTGGTCACTAGCTCCGAAGGTGCCATTACATAGAACCTTACAATTCTATATTTATAGTTTTAATAGCTATCCTTATAGATTGTTAATAACTTCAAGTATTAGTTAGTTAATAAAGGATCATCCTTTTATAAATAAATCAATCCTACGGAGTTGCCAACATGCACTACTCTATACACTATTCTGCAACACTCAAAGCATATCATTATCTCAGTCACTGAGGAATGCCAAGAACTTGGCCTGTATGGCACGTGCACTTGTCAAACAATCAGACAAGCGATAGCAACTGCAAGAGTATTTCATTGCCACCGTTCAACCACTGAACTGGAGACAGACCAGTTAAGGGAAGACATGGAGAATAGTACAGCATCAGAGGGCAAAGATCCATCAGTCTTTCTGAGTGAGATTATTGGTGCCCCAGTCACTGTGAAGCTGAACTCAGGTGTTGTCTATAAAGGTCATTTCATCCTATTCTCACTTGAGCTACCTTTACCCAAATGCTGATATCAGGCTAGGTGAACTTCAATCAGTAGATGGTTACATGAACATTGCCCTAGAAAAGTCTGAGGAATATGTGCATGGGAAGTTAAGGCGAAGTTATGGAGATGCTTTTGTCCGAGGAAATAATGGTATGTTCCATCGACCTATCTTGGCAATTTTATGTCTCTAATTCTGTATATACTTGTTGTAGTGCTTTACATCTCAGCAAATTGAGGATATGACAAATGATTCCAATGGCGTCGCATTGTTGCCCATTGGTTGTCCTCTCGCTATGTCCGCAAAATTAAGCTACAAAATGTCACAGCAAGACATATCAGGTGGGAGAGAAGGAAGGAAATTGCTGGCACCGCATCAAGAGCAAGCTGGCTGATAAAACAACAAATCGATTAATCAATTTGTCTTCCCCATACCAACGTCTATTTCCGTCCTACCCTCATCGGATCATCTATCTCAGACAGCTCCATTCATATGGGAGGCTATACTTTAATACCCCTGTATTGATCGCCCCCAGAACAACCTAAAAGCCATAGATAAATCATACACGAACTATGTAACACGAATACCTCTCTAGTTGCTCGCCCAACTACTTAGTATTGCCTCGCTGCCGTTAGAATGCTTGAAAACAGAACAACTCGTTATCTAGTTATGATACCGCATACGGCCTTAGAGTTTTTACATAATAGACCCAAGACAGTGTGTGAATAATTGATTATTTAGTTGCTTCTTCCTATTGATGGGGTACCCACCAAATCCAGTTTAGTCTGAGTGAGTGTATGTGTTACATCGATGGCTCTTGGGATTCACCAAAGCATGTGCCAAACTTTTTCAGGTCCACTTGGCAGCTTGAAGAAACTAATGAGACTTGCAGTTACTTAGGTGTATATAGAGGACTATGTACTAAACCAAATACTAGCATCTGTGACAAGTATCATACCTAAGTTATGATACTTGTTGCTCCGCCAAAATGAGATGAGGGGCGTGTAGCCCCACATGAATTGTTTTTCTTTCATCCTTGATTGCCGATGATGTATGGGCGAGGAGCGAGCTGGCCGCGGGGCCTTTCCTTTCGCATCTTCCTTCCGCACGGCACCCTGTTTCAATCTTATTTCATTTCTCTCCCCCAGAAAATTCTTGTATTTGTTCCAAATCTCTCGGAATGACTCTGCAAGCAATCAAATATAATGGTGGCAATCTTGCCATCATTGATCAGCTACAGCTTCCACATGTAGAGAAATACGTTACAATACATACAAGTGAAGAAGGCTGGCATGCAATCAAGGAGATGCGAGTGCGAGGAGCACCTGCGATTGCTATAGTAGCGGCCCTCTCACTTGCATCAGAGCTCACTACCCTAATGGCTTGCAACAAATTATCTTCGAATGCTATGGAGGCACAGACTTTTATCACAGAGAAGTTACACTATCTGGTGAGCAGCAGACCTACAGCAGTCAACCTTAGTGATGCAGCTGGAAAACTGGAGACCATAGTGGCAGAAAGTGTTAGGATGTCTGGATCCACAGGCCATGCTGTTGCTACTGCGTTTATCCAAGCTGCCGAAGCAATGCTAGTGAAAGATGTTGAGGACAATAGGAAGATTGGGGAGTATGGTGCCAAATGGATATCAGAAAATGCTCTATCCGAGAACGGTACTAAGGCTACGGTTCTTACACATTGTAATACAGGGTAAGTGCGCTGTCGTCTATAGTTGGACTCTCCTAATCGTATCGATAGTTCTCTCGCGACTTCGGGGTTCGGGACAGCCTGGGGGTAATTCGTGCACTCCATTCGACCAAAACCTTACAACATGCCTATTGCACCGAAACGAGACCATACAACCAGGGCTCCCGTTTGACAGCATTTGAGCTCGTTCACGACTGTATTCCTGCTACGTTAATAACAGACTCAATGGCAGCTGCATTGCTCGCTAGACCCGAGATAGGCGTGAATGCAATTGTGGTGGGGGCAGACAGGGTAGCAGCTAATGGCGATACCGCAAACAAGATTGGTACATATGGCCTTGCTGTGCTTGCAAAGCACCATGGTGTGAAATTCCTCGTGGCTGCACCGCTCACGACTATCGACCTAGTCACCAAGTCGGGGAATGAAATTACTATCGAGGAGCGGCCCGCATCCGAGGTTACTAGGATTAGAGGCACCTGCGAAGATGGTGGTGTCTCCGAAGCCGTCAAGATGGAAACCGTATGCATAGCAGCAAAAGGGATCAATGTTTGGAATCCAGCATTCGATATAACCCCCGGGGCTCTTATCGATGGTATTATAACTGAAAAGGGAGTGGTGGAAAAGGACTCTGATGGATTATTTCACTTGGAGGAGCTGTTTAAAGCCTGAGAAGTAACCGAAGCCCCACTGTTGTCGTGGCAATTAGTCTCTCCTGTCGTGGGTTGTGGTTGGCGTGTCTCAAAGCCATTGAGTAGTTCGTCAATTTTGCGTTCCAGGCTGCTTAGGTGATTCTCCAGCGCTAGAGCGGTTTTTTCGCCCCTGGGAAGTAGAGGTCAGAGTTATTTAAACATTTATGGAGTAGTAGGGTGTCTGTACTTGGAGATATCATTGAAGGCCTGCAACTTAGTGTTAATGCTCTGTTTTAAACAAGCTAACAAGTCCATAATTTGCATAAAAGGAATTAACTTGCATCACAGGAAGAAACGCACTTGCATGATGTTCGAGTTATTTTGATTGTCTTCCTCGTGCGACATGGCTCTAGTCAACCACTGGACCGTATTTGTAAATGTTGAGGGGAAATTACAGGCAGCGTTTTTTGATCCAACAGGCTCGTTGTGGTCCCGAAGCCAAGATTTATCCTGTTAGCTTTTGTTGTCACCTGATCAAGCACATCTACTTAGATATACATAAGTGGTACTAGTACTAGGACCAGTTCCGTAGGGAGTTTTGAGGTTCGTTGAGAAAGTCCAGTCTTGTTTTCATTTTCCTAGATCAAGTCACCTTTTTTATATACATAGCAAGTTACCCAACCAAGTAGCCCATAAGAAAGAGTAACTGACAATATAGATATCTAACCTAACAAGACTAATCTGATAAAGTATTCATAACCTAGATTTACTATGTAATTCGCGATAATGTATCTTTTGCGGCCTCAGACTAGTTCGTATATGTATCTGATAGTCTACTTATTCCATAGTCTTAAACCAACGAAGGGGGGTTAGCATACAGCAGCTGATCTGATGACACCTCGCTGTCTTTTTAGGTGTCTGTATACACAAATTCTAATATTTCGTACCTTAAGATCTCATGTAAGTTATATACAGCACAAAGAGTGGCGAATATTGGTCCAGTTAGTCTCAACTTCACTTGATGCTGATGAGTAGTACCTTTTGATAGAGATAGGAAGTACGTACCATTCCCGGTATATTCGGCCCCCAGACGGAGTGGTATAACGTTGGAAAGGATTGTGGATACTGTACTGAACTACTAGTACTGTGTAATGGCTTAGTTGTCCCGCCCAATCAACACACGTCATTGAGACTTCTTCGCATTACAGTCCACCATCATACTCCGCTACATCAGGCGTCCCGTCCAAAGGGTGCATGCATATCGCGGTGCAAGAGTGACCGCCTAAGATATCAGGCGTCCAGACATATCCTCACCTTCACATTCGTTCAGCTGGTGGAGACCTGTTAATTGAAAGAATATACGATATATCCTTCCGGTACCTGTTGAAGCTCATGCGGTCATTTTTCAAGAGGCCTTCATGGGCAACAAGGGGAGATGATGATTTGGACTCTGAATTCTACCGTCGTGCTGGCCAAACGTACGCAGACATTATCGCTGCAAGTAAGGTAGCTCGAGATAGTCCACTAGGTAGTCCTGGCAGTTCTACTACAGAGGACGGTAAGGTTTGTAAGCGTCGACACATCTCAGGGGAACCGCTGTCGAGAGAACCCGCACCCCGAGTTCTTCCTGACGACGGCCAAGAGAGAAGCGATATACAAGGCGTATCTCTCCGCAGCGTTGATTCCTGGAAGACTTCACCATACATAAGTGATTGTAACGACTACTGGACGCCGGTACAATTGCCAACAGACAAAGCTAGCGCTCTTGGCTCGAAAGTTGATTCCTCTAACACCAGAGATATTCGGCAAACTCATGTTTGGCCCTACCCAAGTACGAATACAGAAATAACCGAGACGGAAAATGCAGTCGACGAGATCCCTGCTCCTTGTGATGCTCGAAAGAACCAGCGAAAAGTTGCCGTCCATACGGATCAGCACCATGATTCTATGGAATATGATACGGTTGTTCAGATTCTTATCACCTCCAAAATTGAAAGCACGAAGCCGCTGATAATCCACCGAAAAATGTCACAGTCGCTGCGAGATGTTCGTCTTGCATGGTGTAACCGCCAAAGTATACCGAAAGAGATGCAGTCATCCATACTCCTGACTTGGAAGGGCAGAAGGCTATTTGATGTCACAACATGCAGGAGCTTGGGAATTGGCGTGCCGCAAGGCCTTGCCGACAGCGCAGTACACGGCGATCATATTCAGCACGGCAGCAAAGAAGACATTCGTATCCACATGGAGGCTGTTATCGAAGACAATGTGATGGCAATCAATGACTGGCAAGCCTCGCATGAAAGTTACCCTGCATATGCGCAAGAGTCTACAGCAACAGATGGCAGCAGGCTTCTATCAACAAGGGTCGTTTTGAAATGCCCAAGCGCTGGCGACCTGGAATTGAAAGTTAGTTCAAGAATGCAAGTCTCACGACTTGTTACTACATTTCGTGATGAGAAAAATTTACCGAAAAACCGGGAAGTATACCTAGTGTTCGATGGTGATCGGTTAGATCCCAGTTCTTGTCTGTCGATGTACGACATGGCAGATGGTGACCTCGTGGATGTCGTGATCAAATGAAATGTGGAGTTTAGAGGACACCCTTTCCCCTTCGCGGAACAAGGCTTATTCCATTGGGAGGTCAACAGACCGTTTTCTCTACTGATGCAATATTGAATATGATAAGTCTTATTGGCTTCAGGCTGGTCCGTACTAAATGCTTTATGTTCAATAGCTGATATGAGACGAAGAGATATATTCGATAATATGAAACATATTCATTACATGAAGTCTTAGTAAATATACACATCGTGGAGATGGCCAGAAATTGACTGAGTACTCTGGTTGGGAGTTTGCATTACTCGTGAAAGTACTGCTCAAGTTGGTTTTTTTTTTTTTTTTTTTTTTTTTTGCAGTAGATTTCTGTTCCCTTCCGCTATGAGATAATTTGCCCCCAGCAATATTCTCTACTGCCTCTGCTCTTACATGCTCCATTCGCAACCGAACATCGCACCACCATACCTATAAGAGCCTTAATGAAGTTGATTACTGCCAATTTTTTGACCTGTGCCGTCAAAGGGTGCAAGGCATCACCGGCGTCATTCCCACTTCATTTTAGGGATGCGGAGCTTGAACTGCAGGAGCTTGATTTTCAACCCGAGTTTATCCGTAACATTGTCCCTCGAATTGATTGGCATGCATTACAGACAATGGCAAATGAGGTAAGTAAAATTTGCACACTGCTATGCGATGTGTTCAGATAAGGATAGCGCTCACTCATTACAAGCTTGGGTTCCCCAAAATCCTGGATAAGAAGCCGGAGGGCGATGAGCTCAGGGATGAACAAATATTAAGGGAACTTCATCGATTATTATTGGAAACGCAAATTATTGAGGGCAAATTGACTTGTGGGAATTGCGGCCATGAATACTTAATCAAAGAGGGGATTGCGAATTTTCTTCTACCAAGTCATTTAGGTCTGTACTCTCGCTGTCTTTCTACCACTCTGCAATTTCTGACTTGTCTTAGTTTAAATCTTCTACATATGTTGTTCCATTAGGCGTGGCGAGCTGAGTGTCTGGCCGCAAGAGCTTGGGAGGGCTTCATGGTTGTTCCATGTCCTTGCCTCATTAGTATATCAGGTTTTATACCGCAAAGCGTTCCGTGTTACATGTTACAATTCCCGCCAGCGTCTTTTCTGCCTGCCCGAATCGCATATATCATCAAAAAAGCCTATGTGATGAAAAGCCGAGTGATGAAAGCTATATGGTACATGGTTGTTGCAGTTGATTCAGAAATAATATGAAATACAAGGCCTTGCCGTGATGGGAACCGCATACAACAATGGAAACAAGCAGAAAATTACACATTGGCCAGTTCCATGTGAACAGCTGCTAACCCAAGCCTCAGCCAAGACGCCATAATGCCAATGCTGCATCTGTCAAACAAGTCCAGATATTATGCTATGTTGAGCGAAAGAAATGCAAAATAAAGAGGGGCAACAGTGCAGGTAGACGGACTGAGAAACCTACGCTGAGAGCATCTCAGTTAAGAAAACCTTTGCACCCGGTTGAGCCACAAAGGCATGGGATTCTATCATCGCTATCCCACTCTCTTTCGAATTTGTAGTCATACGTCAGCTCCTCATCTGCAGAGAAAGTAAGTTAACTAGTGCACCCATCGGGATATCAATGTGCTTCTGCCAAACTTACCTCTCTCGATGTCTCTCAAAGCATATATAACAATACGCTTGCTACCATCGACTTTAATGATCTTGGCAGTGCAATTCGGTGTACAGCTATGGTTGATAAACCTAGCAATGCCACCTCTCTTTGTAGCATCTATAACTGTGTTCTCATCAATGCGGAAAAGGTAGCTGCTACCAATTCCACTCTTTAAATACTGCCTCTCCCTCATATCCGCAACCTGCTGCCGCACCTTTTCACCTACATATTCAATGATCATGTCATTTGCTGATATATTTTCTTCGGCATAGAGGCCCCAGTTATGGATAGCTGACCGAGCAAAGCGTACTGGCTTCTTTCGCTTCTTCAGCTGATTAAAGCGAAGGACGTCGCCGTCTCCAGATTGAGTGGGAAGGGCCTGTTTCTGTGCATTGATGTCTGCAATCAATCGGCGGTTATTGACTCTTGTAGATCTGGATGTAGACTTAGATATGTTCTTTGCGGCAGCAACTCTTGCAGCCTCAACTGCAGCAGTATGGGGATCATTCTTTGCTCTGGCCTCGCGCTCTTCACGTGCTTTCTGGACTTTGATACGATGTGGCAGGTACTTTGACTTCTCCGACTCCAATATTCTCTTCCTTCCTTCGGTTCGAGCAGCACCTGTTGTATTGGGTAGATAATAACCTGCGATGCCAGTCTCCTCGCGCACGGGACCCACATCTCCGGGATGATTGAGGGCTTTGATTTCCTTCTGCCTCCATGCCCAAGCCGACAGGTTTCCAACATTGGATTCGGGATATCCAACAAGGATATCTCGAAGAAAATGCAGATCCTCGTCGTCTTTTATTAGGTTTTGCCATCCGTCGAGATCCATAATTATTGCGTCGTCATCATCGACAATGGGCCTAGGCTCATCATTGGACACTCGCCATTCTACCAATGTTCGGGATTCTTCGCGCACTTTTGCACTATCGACAACGTCAAGAGGAGCTAGTATACCGTGGCGGTCTTTCTCTGTCGTTGAGGACGCAATATCAATACTATAGTCCAGATGGTTGGCTACTCCCATCTCTTGCCGATTATCATGATTCTCTTTTGGAAAGATACTATGAGCAGTTTCTGACCCTTCGAGATTTATGTCCACGGCTATAGGGGTTGTGATGACTTGGGCGCCTTCGACTTCGGTTGTTGCAACAGAATTAATGCCAAAAAGTTCGTCATCTTCCTTTTGTCTTTTGCGCGCGTTGAGTTCTTCACTGGCTCTTTTCCGTTTTCGCAACTCTGGAGAAATTTCGTGGCTTTCAAGCTGTGAACTTTCGCCAACCGATTGATTGTCCTTCAAAATCTCTTCGGGCTCTTGACTTTGAGCCGAGCCAGCCAGTTTTACAACTGGAATTCCCAAAGCCTCGGAAACAAAGCCGTCGCCATCGTCAGACTCTGAGGTCCCCGAGCTCATCCGACTTGGAGGCCGACTGTCTTGCTCATCCGTATCTTTGGGTGTTCGTTGTTCATCATCTGAGTCGTCAACGTCATGCAACTGTTGCAGCCGGTGATACAGTGGCCGGACTTCTCTTCTCCGCAGCGGCTGCTTGCGCCTTTCGTCCAAGAAAGCAGCATCTGTCCGACCAAGATGGCGAGCCTTCCGAATACGCGGAAGTGCAAGAATATTTGGTGTAGATCCATTGAAAGGACGTCTTGTGTCTGATAACCCTGACCGCGAGTCTGGTGTCCCGAATGAATTGTCAATTCGAAACATGGGTCTTTTGATCCCCTCCGGGTCAGCGATACCTAACGTTTTCCTTTTTAGAGCATGCCGGTCCGGGTCGAGGTAATCATATAAGGCTGGGGCAGCAATGCGTGACTTCACATCCTCAAGAAGTTTATCTTTCAGGTCCCGGATTATGATGGTTATTACTTCTTGGCAGGGGTCAAGGTCAACCGCTCGCTGCTTTTTCTCTTCTTCGATATCAAGACCCACTTCTCTTTTCAATCTTTCTCTTTCTGCTCGCTCGCGTTGTTCTGCTCGACATCGCTCAGGACTTGGACTGCGCTCGTAGCTGGGATTGCCATAAGGCTGGCTTTCCATATTCATGATATAGGTGAACAGAGGCTTCATGTGGCACATTTTGTAGCAGCGCTCAGTTTCTTCCTCACCGCGCCTAGAGTTCTCAAATATAATATAGTACCCGGTTTTGTCGCAACGAATGTCTTTCCAGTTAAATAGCTTGAGCCTTTTCTTAAGGTGGGGAACGGTTGTACTAAGGACTGGTACGTAGCAATGAGCAATGAAGATGTACGGATCCCTTTTGATCTGACTCAAAATGGGCACTTCCTCAACCAAGGACGGCATGACGGGTTTAAGAAAATTTGCCCTCGGTCCTTCAGGAATCACAACCATAGGGCGAACAGATGGTTTTCCAGAAGGACCTTTCGGCGCCGTCGGAGGGGGCTCATTTCTCTTTATTTCCGAATCTGATTTCGCCTCTTCCGTAGATAGAAGATTGCTCTTCTGTCCCATCCTCTGGGACTCAATTGCCCTAGCCACAAATCTGTCTGAAACAACCCCATCGCGATCCAAGTCAACCCTGATCCTTCGCGTCCCGATGCGCTGCTCTTTTCTGCATTCATAGAATGCTCGCCTAGCTGCGCTTGCTGCGAGGACAGGACCGCCACCCCGAAATGAAGCGCTATCTTTGTACTTTACTGAGCATATTCCAAGGAACCTGCCAGTAATCGGATCCGTGCGGTTATTTATCTCGGCAATGTCTCCGAAACTTGAAAACAGGGCGCTGATCGGCGCGATGGGGGTGAGAGGATCAAAACCAGTGATGACTATCTGCGCAGGAGGCCCGGGCCCTATTGTCGTTGAAGCATCATAAGGCCAATGCTTTAAAGGATAGGGCGCTGGTCGATATTTCCTCTTCTGCTTGCAACCGGCACCTCGCATGTAATTTGGAATCCCAAGGCGAGGATCTGGTGGGCAATTATCTTGTTCGCTCAAGATAATATCGACATAACGGGGTTTCCTTCGCTTCTCCTTCGAGGATGATCGTTTTTCGGAGTCAGGGTCATAGACCAGCTTATAACCTCTGATGCTTCCAGTGCGACGGCCTTGAGACTGTGGCGTTGGTGGGGTATGGAGAGGGTTTATTCCACTCTTAGTATCGACAATAGCATTTGCAACAACCTCTTCTGCTATTTTGTTCCGGGGTGAGTTTGCTCTATGAGCGGGCGATGACTCGGCATTGGTAAGAGGAGTTAGGGTGTCAAGACGTGCTTCATGCGAGCTCGCGCCATGCTGAGCAACAGATGTGCTAAAAGCCGGGCGATCTCCTGTTGTAGAGCTTGCAGAACCTTCTACAGATGATTCAGGTGACGTTTTCTTTAAATCAGTAGAAGATATTTGTCCAGAATCCAGTGATGCACCGCCGTTAGACGAGTTGAGAAAAGCTCTTGTTTCCGTGGGGCACGTCGATGATTCATCGCTATGTTCACTATCAACTTGGGCCTTAGGTCGCGGTCGCTCCCTAGTTACTTTAAATCGTTTTTGCTGGAGGACAGACGGCGCAGTAGGGAAGAAGTCTGCAAAGCCTGCCGAGGAGCGCGACATACTGAGAGATGGCTACGAGCCAAAATCAGACCAGCTGCGATCAGAAGGCAGCATCCTTAACCGTTGTATTCGGCTAGTGCGCAGTCATGAGCCAGGAATCTTCCCTGGCGTAAATCGTACAAGGTGGAACCAAATCCGGCAGAAGATATCGGGTATGGACGAAAAAAGAGGTGGAAGGCGGTAGCTTATCGAAGGCAAAGGGAATTGGTTGAATTGATGTGAGCACGAGGAATGTGAGACTTCGGGAAGTTCAGAATCGCAAGAAAAGAGTCCATTAGATGTGTTCTTGAATCGCCCTACCAACGCGGTCAAGGAACCAAAACGCGAAGAAGCTCACGGCTAAAGTTGGAGCGGTGGGGGAGGGGACTTCATTTGAGCCTCGCTGAAAAGGGTACAACCCACTGGCAAGCAAAGGAATTATTGCATTATTCTGGATTTGTGTATTTTTGAACATAGGAGGAGTGGTCCTTTATTCTCTCCTCTTTTATTTGCCCTTGGGAGCGAGGGGACGAAAGTGTTGCCAACATCGCTTTTTAGATCCTGGAACCAGGACACATGTTGCAGAGTTCATTCGCGCAAAGTCAACATGCACATGAAAGTGGTCGGCACTTGGATACAATCAACTTCAATCATCGATATTTAACATCTTCAGCTTGATCTAAACAGCTCAGAGATATTCAAGATTGTATAATCAGATTCCCACTGTTCTCAATCCATCTGTCCTTGTCCTTATCTCTTAGGGGTATTCTTGCTCCCTCTTCTAGTATCCCAATGATTTCGAACGTAATTATTCCATCTATGATAGTGGTGAGGCTCTTATAGACTCCCATATGATAATTTAGTATTTAAAAGAAACCTGTCCGAATTCTCTGCATGCATAAGATATCAATCATGGATGACAACGGCACAGTAAATAGACATATTGAACGCCAACTTTTAGCTGCGTACAGCGTACATTCTACTATACATACGAACATTCTCAGTATTAGGGCCAAGAAGTTTTTTGGAGCTGCTTCTCATCAAGGGCTCCATTCATCGTCAACCAATGCTACATCACCATGCCCACTTACTCTCAGCAGAAAATTTCAGCAAATCCGTGCTTATCGCGGTGTCTCGATGTCGGATTGTAGTCTGACAATGAGGAGTATGTCGAGAAAATCCAGCGAGTTTTATATTTTTTTGGTGGATTGAATTCTGAGGGGTTATTCTTGTTAAGTAGCAAGATCATCATCGGACATGACTACTATCAGACTTGTCATGCCCAGCTCTGAACATATAAATACACGTAAGAATAAACACCAAGTGCTGGTCGTCGAAAGCCCCACCCACCAAAACACATAGCATTCCAAGATAGGGGAAAATTTTTAGCATAACCCAGAGATAGATACCTGTATTCGTCGTGTATTTGAATAGCTAGCCAGCCAGTGTATTCATTATACAGTACAAATCAGAATGCTCTGTACATAGCTGTCGTTTATAGAGAGAACAATGATACGAATTAATAGACAGTGATCGCCTTTGAGCATTGACTGTGCCAGGAATGAAAAAAGGCATTAAAATACCTTACCTGGAATGAAATAAAGACAGCATTGTTATATAAAGGTATACATTTTGCGCTTGACCTTCCTGATTGCGACCTGTTAACATTCCATATGTAAGGATGCAAATACATGTCAAGTATTTCGAGTCCCAGGTACGCCCGAAAGTGGTCATCACCCACATACTAGAGTGGCCACACAAAGAAACTACTAAAATGCCCGGCTGGTATCCGGTGAGATTGTACCAATTTCCCTCCCAATGATAATGCTCTGCACCTTCGGGGATACTACTACTGAGACTAATGAAGTGATCTGGGTATCTATCGACCCAAAATAGTACATAATGCATATTATACCCACTTCTCGTGTAGGTAATGTGCTCTATGTGCCTTTTAAGGAAATAGTCCACTTTCAATCCACAGAAGAACTACGTATAGAGAGGACATGCTCAAACTAGATCGTATTCCGTAAGGTTCAGACTATATGGAGTACTAGGTATCTTTTTTAGTACTCGGGTACATATCACAGTGCTGGCGTTTACAGCCCTAAAATGATAGCAATCGTAGTTCACAGAGGGGAGGATGACCAAGCCTCGATAACAATGTATAAAAATAGTAACTTCAAAATCCAAAACCCTGGGACATCATAAAAATAAACCCAGCACTGTATGCTTCGCCCCTGGTACACCATGGATATTGGAACTAGATAATATCCCTCCCCCCCTTTTTTTAACGAAAAAAAAGAAAAAAAAAAAAAAAAAATTAGTTGCCACCTAAAAAGTATCAAGGGAACTAACTAGTGAGAGGGACTCAAACTCCTTAAGTATAACTCGTTTGGTGAATCGAGTCACCCCTTCTCCCTTCCATCCCCCCTGAAAGGTGAGTAGTAGTAGCTACTAACTAGTAGTTGTCGCCAAAAACTCATTATTAACAGCACAAGGAAAGAGGTCTCTAATATTAATTGACTGCAAGAGGATAGGGGGTATTATTCTTTCTGATTGTCAGAGATTTGATAACGGGAAGAACCAGAAGATGAACGTGGCAACAGCGGCTGTCGGTACCAGACCATACAGGAGGAGTACTCGGTTGTCCCTCTTTCATGTTTCATTCCCACCCTTATGTGCTGGAAGGTACTCATAATAAATTAATCAATGTAAACAGCTTCTGATTTTGATCCATGAGTGAGGGATCTCAACCTGTACCGAACCTAATCCTAGTCAAGCAGTCCGTCAGGTTTGAGGGAGGCATATCAGCCGCACAGGAACTACCGAGGGGGGCTAATCGCCCTTTTTTTGCGATGGCAATTTGTGGATTCGTAGGAAATATGGAGTAGATAAAAATTGTTCTATGTATTACATTACGAACAAAAATCCCTGGAGCAGGGGAGGGAAGAATAATGCTAGGTACCTAATACTAGTCGAGATGTTATTTTTGATCTCCTAGTGGAGCCAGTGACCTATTTAATTTTTAGTAGGTAAACTTAGCAACATGTCCATGCCATGGAAGGTCTCCAGCCGAGAGTCACGAGTGAAACATACCAGTAGGTTTGTTGAACTGTGTAAGCCTGGAAGGTGAAGAAAACGCATATTATTGGCCAGATCCATGTTGAATGAATGGCTGCGCCCTGGAGCCGGTCCATAGCAGCTTCCTTGGTCTCTGTGTGGGCCGATCTCACAACATAAAACATAGCTCATCCCCCTCCTTCCAACAGATTGTCGATCTACTCAATCTCCCCTTTACTATCAACTCATTTGCCTCCTTCCTTCCTTTTCTCACTCGCCACAACCGCCCTTAAAAACTATCGCATATTTATTCTCCAGCTGGATTATCTGAAGTATGTTCATGTTATCCTCATAGGGTATCTTCGAATTCGTTTGTTGACAGTATATTCTTTTCCAGAGTACACTTTGAAGAAACCCCACTACCGTTTAGACTTGCTCTCAGTGTCTGGAAGCAGCGTTTGTTATCGAAACACCAAAACACCTCGTCATCCCCTTCTACACCTTTTCACCTCTTAGCTTCCCCTCTCTCTTAACATTCTTTAACCATGTGGTAAGTTGCTGAAGACCCAGGCCATCTGAACTTTTGCTGTAACTAAACAAACTGTAGCGGCATTTTCGGCTACATTAACTACCTCGTCGAGAGGGACCGCAAGTACATTCTTGACACTCTTCTCAACGGTTGGCATTTGCTCACTCTGGTATTAATATTGTGTGCGCCTGCTGACATGTTAAAGGACTCTCCCGCCTTGAATACCGAGGCTACGACTCTGCGGGTCTCGCCATAGATGGGGATAAGAAGAATGAAGTCTGTGCTTTCAAGGAAGTGGGAAAAGTTGCTAAGCTTAGGGAGCTCATTGATGAGTGCAAGCCCGACTTGACCAAGTCCTTTGAATCTCATGCTGGTATTTCTCACACGCGTTGGGCCACTCATGGGACACCTTCCCGCTTGAACTGCCACCCACACAGGTGAGTCCGATTTTTCGTGGTCGAATCAACTCGACTAGGATCAAGGTTGTTTGTTAATGTTCCTGGCATGCAGGTCCGATCTAAACTGGGAATTTTCAGTTGTTCACAATGGTATCATTACTAATTACAAAGAACTAAAGGCTCTGTTGGAGAGCAAAGGGTTCCGCTTCGAGACGGACACAGACACCGAATGTATTGCAAAGCTCACGAAATATCTTTATGATCAACAGCCCGATATCGAATTTACAGTCTTGGCTAAGGCTGTTGTGAAGGAGCTTGAGGGCGCCTTTGGGCTTCTCATCAAATCCGTACATTATCCCCACGAGGTCATTGCAGCTCGCAAAGGGTCCCCGCTTGTCATTGGCGTGAGAACGTCGAAGAAAATGAAAGTGGATTTCGTGGACGTTGAATACTCAGAAGATGGAGCTCTTCCTGCAGAGCAGGCTTCCCAGAACGTAGCCATCAAGAAGTCTGCGACTGGCCTCCTCGCCCCACCTGACAAATCCCTTTTGCATAGGTCACAGTCTCGTGCTTTCCTTTCCGATGACGGCGTCCCCCAGCCTGCTGAATTTTTCTTGTCTTCTGATCCATCTGCAATTGTTGAGCATACGAAGAAGGTTCTCTATCTTGAAGACGATGATATCGCTCATGTGCATGAAGGGCAGTTGAACATTCATCGCCTCACCAAAGATGATGGTACTTCTAACGTTCGCGCTATTCAGACGATTGAACTCGAACTGCAGGAGATTATGAAGGGCAAGTTCGACCACTTCATGCAAAAGGAAATCTTTGAACAACCCGAGTCTGTGATCAATACCATGAGAGGACGATTGGATGTTGCAAACAAGCAAGTTACACTTGGTGGCCTGCGGCAGTACATTTCCACTATCCGCCGCTGCAGAAGAATCATCTTTGTTGCCTGTGGAACTAGCTACCATTCATGCATGGCTGTGCGTGGAGTCTTCGAAGAGCTCACTGAGATTCCTATTTCTGTTGAACTTGCTTCCGACTTCCTAGATAGGCAGGCACCGGTATTCCGGGATGACACGTGTGTTTTCGTTTCTCAGTCTGGCGAGACCGCCGACTCTCTCATGGCCTTGCGCTACTGTCTCGAACGCGGAGCATTGACAGTTGGTATTGTTAATGTTGTAGGGTCCTCCATCTCACTACTCACTCACTGCGGTGTGCACATCAACGCTGGACCCGAAATTGGTGTAGCTTCCACCAAGGCCTACACGTCCCAGTTTGTTGCTATGGTCATGTTCGCTTTGTCTCTTAGTGAAGATAGGGCCTCTAAGCAGAAGAGGCGTGAGGAGATTATGGAGGGCCTTTCTAAGGTCTCTGAGCAATTCAAAGAGATATTGAAACTCAACGAACCCATTAAACAGCTTTGTGCAAACTTCAAGAATCAGAAGAGTTTGCTTCTGCTGGGCAGGGGTGGTCAATTCCCTACTGCTCTTGAAGGTTAGTGACTAATCATACGATATATTGCTTAGCTTATGCGTCATATAGGTGCACTTAAAATCAAGGAGATCTCGTATCTCCATTGCGAGGCTGTTATGTCCGGCGAGTTGAAACATGGTGTTCTTGCCCTTGTCGATGAGAACTTGCCCATCATCATGATTCTCACGAGGGATAACTTGTTCACCAAGTCATTGAATGCTTATCAACAAGGTGAGTTGAAAACTAGCAAATAGCAAATGTGGTCATTTTGTCTAATATTTTGATAGTTATTGCTAGAGGTGGACGCCCTATCGTGATTTGCAATTCCGGCGACCCGGAATTCTCTTCGGCGCAAACCGTGAAGATCGAAGTTCCGAAGACTGTCGATTGCCTGCAGGGTCTCCTGAATGTCATCCCCTTGCAGCTGATCGCTTACTGGTTGGCTGTGTCTGAGGGTCTTAATGTCGATTTCCCTCGCAACCTTGCGAAGTCAGTCACTGTTGAGTAAATTTTCGCTATTGACACAGCGAAGTTTGGCCTATGGAATTTGCAGAGTCCTAAGGAGCATCCTTGCTACCTTTCGGATGAGTTTACCTCTCTTTTTTTCATTTTATTTCCATAATTGTCCGGTAGAATGCAATGTTGCAGGCAATCATATCTCGGGGATGTTTCTTCAATGACTGGGCTAGGATACTAGTGGGTCGAGTACGCTCCTAGTGCTACTTAATGTAGGGTATTATTTTATCCCTATTCCATGTAGATTGATCTGTAATGTCTTTAGTACAACGCTCCGCAGATAGGCGCATAGTTATCAAATATTAATACCTTAGTAATCGCCAGTTACTACATATAGTTAGTTAACCATGAGTATCCCTAAACTGTACTGTAGACGACGAGAAAGGGCTTGGTTGGCAACCACGCAGGCTCTCATGGCGGGATAATGCACGAAGGTAGCCTTCTACTCCGCACTTTTGATATAATTCGACGGTATAGATATAGATGTCATTAAAGCTTATTTTATACAATAATATGATGTGGAACCCTCATATCACTACTGAACAAGGAAGCGGTAGATGCGGTGAAATCGCCCTGTTTATCCCACTGACGTCTCACACTCTATCTAGCGCAATTAACACGCGGCGGCAATCAGGCAAGGTTCCCTCTCAGTGTAAGTTTGAGTGATGCTTCCATGTCTTACAAGTACTGTTTCTCCCAAGATTAAGGTTATTAAGGTGACAGTAGTAATTACACAATACAGAGTAGGCAAAATACACTAACTTGTTTCAAAGTCGCTTGAGAAGGAAGGTTTGAACATGACTACAAGGCGGTAATGCCGACCTGGCAAAAATTTGGACTACTACGTCGCTGGATATACCGGGAATTACGTAATCGCAGCTCTCCCACCAGGTTCCGCGGGGTATATCCCCCATATGATGGTTCAATAATCATCGCACAAAGGCCTATATATGACTTACAGTTTCTACAATTGATTGACCCCGTTTAAACTGTTACAATTTCAACCATGGCATCTCTGAAAGGGCCAGGAGCTACTTTAGGCTTTGACGGTACGATAGAGGCATAAGAGGGGAGGTTTTGGCTCATCGCTTGCTTATCTGTTTCTATAGGCTCGGGGCTTCGAATTGCAATTGTTCATGCGAGGTGGAATATGGGCATAATTGGTCCTCTTGTGGAAGGGGCAAGAAAGAGCCTTCTAGCAGCTGGTGTAGCTGAGGACCATATCACAACCCTTACTGTCCCTGGCAGCTATGAGTTACCATATGCCGCTCAGCGGTAAGTATACCTCATTTTTATGCCGCTGTTTTACTATAAGGGCTTCATCCTGATGCCTATCCTCTCTTCCTAGACTCTACGCAGCTTCTCAGCTGCAAGCAGCCAAGAGCTCGTCCTCCGGTGAGGGGATCAGTGCCACGGATTTGCTCTCTTCCTCTACCGCAGACATTAGCAAAGCGTCCCCGCAATCCCCAGCATCTGCTACCTCTAGGCCGTTTGATGCCATTATCACCATAGGCGTTCTTATCAAGGGAGAGACCATGCATTTTGAGTACATCGCAGATGCTGTGTCTCACGGATTGATGCGTGTTCAATTAGATTCGGGCGTGCCTGTCATTTTTGGGGTGCTCACCGTTTTGACTGAAGAACAGGGCTTGGAAAGGGCTGGGCTAGGGAAGAAGGGAATGCATAATCATGGAGAAGATTGGGGTAATGCTGCTGTGGAGCTTGGAGCAAGAAGAAGAGAATGGGCTGAGGGTAGAATTGCTTAGGTCTGTTTCGAAAACTTTCAAGGAATTGATTATTAGGATCTGAAGACACTTGTAAGTTAGTAATTTAGTAGCAGGCCCTCATGGTCAGAGGTATAGGACTTCATGTATGCGCAACATTATGCTGGAGTAACGACTTGATGGAAATGGAACCAAACGTATATTAGGATATTCTTAAATTCCGTCCTTGGTTTGTTCATTCTATTCCTCCATCCGTTCCCCTTGGTTGGTGCCATCCTTTGCTCCTTCCTCTTCCTCCTCATCTTCACCTTCTAGAGACCTCTTTGCCGCCTTTTCTGCTTCTTCAAGAAGTTGTTTGGGCACTTCTTCATGCCTGCCCTGGGTTGGCCCATCTAGTGAGCTAATCCAAGACATTTCTAACTCAAAATCTTTGTCCTTGCTATCCTCGTGAGCGACATAAATGATTCGAGCTGCCTCTTTTACAGCATCAACCAAACCCAGGTTACCCGAACTTAGATCTAACTTCTCAAGTTCAGCCTTAGCAGCCTGCCTCCCCTTCCCGGTAGCTGCACCATAGTAACCCTTGCAGTAGTCAGCGCAGTAGTTAGTTTGGGATTGTTGATGCCTGCCTTACCCAGTACAGCCCACTTGGCTCAATCATATATAGACCTGGGCCTCCAGCCCTAGCTCCATCAATTTTACCCCCAGAGCCTGATTTAGGCCCACTGCCGACTTGACCGTCGACGGCAAGCTCGGCTTCAGAATCCCAGCCACCAACGATAGCGGTCACACCAAAAGGTCGTACGCTGGAGTAGAGGGTATAAGCTTGTACGTAGCTGCCCAAACGATTTGACAGAGCTGACACTGGGATAGGGCCCTTGTATACGCTTCTCCACGAAGCAGCCTCATCTCTAGCACGAGTGACAAAGTGTCGACCGTCTGGGACTAGGCCGGCAGAAACCTATTGTTTCGATCCACGCATATCAGTAAAGAGGCCCAATAATCACGATACGGGTTATTCCCACACCAGGCGAAGTTGGGTCGTGACATACAATACCAACGTGTCGATCGACGGTTGCTATTCTCTTATTTGCACCTGGCTTCAGGAGCTTGCTAGTAATAATCTTCTCGACAGCTAGCACGACGCCGTCCTTGCATCTTATACCAATGGCTGTTCCTCCATTTTCAACCGCTTTAGCTGCATATTCCACCTATCGATATAGTTGACTTAGCGACTTATCAGAGTAGAACTATGGGAAATCTTAATCGATTAACTACCTGAAAGTTGCGGCCATCTGGCGAGAAGACAGAATTAGAGAGGTCGTATCCAGTACCGATGGACGTCTGTGTTATGATGATGTTAGTGTTCAGGAAACCTTCACGTAAATGGAAACAGAAACGAACCATGGTCTTAATTAGTTTTGCTTGTCACGAGACAAGATCACCGATTTTGTTCTAGGGCGGAAAATCAATAAGTACTGTGTGGAACGGCAAATTGATAGGAAGAGTCACAGAGCGAGTGTAGTATGAAGTGATGTTGGAAGCTCCAAATGATAAGCAAGGCAGTAACTACAGCAGTCTAGGAGACAATACGTAGTACGACCGCCCAGGCTAACCAAGCTCCGCGTCACGGGGTTTCTGCCTACTAGTAACTAGTGGTATTATAAAAATCACGTGATGAAAGCACCGCCCTCGAGATCTCATGACAGTACAGAGAATCATCATGCCCCTCCATTTCCTTCCCATAATGTCGAGGTGGCTGTAGATCTGCTTGGACTTTCTACTGGTTTTAATCCGAATGTAAAGTGGTGCCAATGAAATCCCAGAGCTTTGGTCAAGTCTCAACAGTCGCCAGGATTATTCGCTCGCTATAAGTGCCCAATCTGCCCACATCTTTGGGCATCTGCGCCAGTTCATAGTCGATGGTAGTCTACCTTCGGGCGAGTAGTAGCATCTTCCGCCTTAATGGCTTCATGCCGCCCCTCTGCAGCTTGTTCAAGTGCTTATAATTGAACTTCTTACTCTGTGTGAACCTCTACTTCTTTGTACTGCTTCTGTTGCATATACTTCTTCTGAACCCTTCGTACTGTAGCAGTACCAGTGACAACTTCATATTCTATGCACTCATTTCCCTTCATCTTTTTATGAACCTGGATGTTCCAGACCATGTCTTTGTCAACACCGTATACCTGCTCATTCTGTGGGCAAGTATCACACAACACTAGTACACTTGCTGCTTTTGCCGATGATTTTAATTGTAGCCAGGTAGATGGCTCTCTCTTATTTTCCTGTTCGGGTGGGGGTGTTCCTGACTAGCGATCGTACAGTGCGGCTTGTCGGCAGCCGAAGGTAATCTGCAAATGCAAGAAGACCTTGTGGCACTTTTCTCCCGGCAAATGCGTATGGATATACCAATACCGTCTGGCAGTCAGGAGATGCTACCAGCCGTCCATCCTCCGGTCGCGTACAGTATCACCCAACACTATCATCACTCCTCGCATGTGGCCCGCTGCACCTTTCCAGCAGGCTCACCAGAGCAGGATGAGCCCTTGGATCCTAACGTGACTCCAAGCTCAGTACATGAAATGCTGAGATTGCAAAACATCAACCCATCATCCCTTACTCCCACACAGCTACAGTTATTTGAGAATGCAATGCCAGAGCAACGATCACGCTTAATCCAGATCTGGCAAATCTTCCCAGAGTCTAGAGATGCATCCACCGACCCAAGCTTGGAGAGGGTGAAACAGTCGAGCTCCGAGCTTTATGCATATTCTTCAGGAGGGGCAGCGATCAATGCACATGATTCAAACCTATCAGCTCATATGGGTTATATTGATGATTTGGACATGTGTGATTTAATGCACGATGGAGGTAACGATGAAGATGGACACCAGTATGCCGAGCCATATATGATATCCGGTTATGAAGTTCTTGCACAGAGAGACTATGAACTATGTGCAGGTAAAATTGTGCCTGTGATGAATGAGCCGACGACGGGGTCACCATATAAGCTGTCAAACGACCCTATCTACAGGGCTCAGGGTCATCAATGGTGGGAAAAGATACGTTGAATATTAGTACAGCACTTTGGAGGAGATGAATCGGTATGCGGCATGTGGTCTCCTACAATCTAAATGGCATTCGTAAATTCAAGCTTCTCGGGGTTGTATTAGGGTAAAAGGTTAGATCCATATTTATTAGATTGCGAACTATTATTTAATCTCTGAAATTATTCTAGCGCGTTGTAAAAGACTCGATTATTTCTGGTGGCTATCGACCTACTGCACACCAGGCGATGAGTAGTACTGTATTAAATATGTGCCGCTGGTCAGGTTTATACGTAGTAGTCGAAGTCCCAATGGGTAAGGACGAACTACTAGTACAGAGTATATGGGAAAGTCACTGGGTATATTTGATCATAGGAACCAAATAAGCTGCAAAAGATATGGGTGGCAAAACATTTAACAGATGTAACGATAGTAAGTGATTGTTGTGACGGCTCATATATAGCTGCGGTAACATCCCATGGGCCCTTCTCACTTGTCTCTGTTCCTTGATTCCCCCCCTTTTATTTTTTCTTTTCTTTTTCTATCTTTTTTCCTTTTCCCTCCCTAATCTCCATCCCTCACTTAACCGCCCTTGGCTGAGGGCGCTTAAACGATGTAAGCAATAGAAAGGACGAAGTAATGATGGCCGTAAGTAGTTCATTGGAAAGAGTGACTGGGCCAAAAGCCTGCAAATATATTTGCCACGCACAAAAGCTCTTGTCTCGCATATCTCAAGAATTATGCGGCTAGTGGGGGTGTCGACCTAGTTCAAATACCATTAGAATCTAGGTAACGTTTACAATTTAAAGAATTGGGCTTACTGACCTTACTAGTACTCCTCGAGATCTGCCATAGCATCTGCAAGGGCATCGGCAGAACGTCTGGCATCCTCAACAGCCTCAGCAGCCCTCTTAGCCTTGAGACATCCCTGACCAGGCAGGGCACACCACTTGGCCAAGGCTTCTGCATCAGGCATGGCCTCAGCAAGGGCCTCAGCAGAACGTCTCACGTCTCCACTGGCATCGGCGGCCCGTTTCAGCATGTAGCAGCCCTGAGCAGGCAGTGCACACCATTTTTGTAAAACTCCAGCCTGTACACTGGTGGCTGCAAGAGCGGCAACGACGACAGAAATGAGCTTCATCTTGAAGATTTTCCGACAAAAGGTTTGATAAGCAGTTTAGATTGAGTTAGTTGAAAGCAGAGTTGTGAGAATCGATATTCTTGATTATGATATGAGAGGATAGTGTCAATTATATAGGATAATGGAAGCTGGAAAGGCGAGGAACCTTACCCATCGAATTCATAGGGCCGTATTCTCGATGGAGAAGTTGTCCTATTCACATGTGGAAGAGGAAGTGCAAGACGAGACGAAAGACAAAGCACCACAATAATCCTGAATAGAGCTTACTGAATAGGAAATGAAGGGTATGTTCAATAAGACCCGCAACAGAGATGGGATCAATCAGGTACATATTTCTCAGCGGGGAAAGAATAGCATCACATGCCATGGGGAACACTCCCTCCTACGCTTGATTCAGCCCAGGGATAGCCAGGATCTGGGTGTAAAAAACTTCTGTGGACTCAAGCGGCATCCTGATCGAGCCCTACTTGAATGTATCTTTTGTACATCACAAGTGAGGAGTACACTGCGCCTCCACAGTGGTTCATACACTGACATTTCCTGCAAGCAGACTAATAACGAACGGATGTTCTATTCTTCTTTCAGAACGAGCCTTCAAAATGATTTAGTTGTTAGATTGGACCTTTAGGTCTAGAGCATTTTTGGCATTGAAAGGTTATTCATGACCAAAATAAGTCATCAATAAGGAATGGCTTTCTAGATGCGCTGAGATAAGACTACTAAAAGAGAGCCTGACCTTGATTGATATACCAAAGGGGAAAAGTCGGTATGTTAGATCAAGGACAATGAACACCGAAGTAGCGGAACAGGTACTTGAAGTGGGGATGTGTTTGCTAAATCTTTTTCTTGTTCCTCTTTAGTCAACACAAAGAAAGGAAAGGGTTCGATCATACTAATACTTTCTTTATGATAAACTTAATAGTAATGAAGAAAAGATATCCACTTTCAGCAGGATATAAAAAACCTCTAGTCAGACTTTTCACAATCTCAAAGACTAAAGTATGTATCGCCCATTGTTTAAGGGGTTCTATAGAATGTGACTGAGCTGGTTGATTGATTAAAGATCAATTGAGTGATGGACCGTAAAGATAAGATCGGCCCGGATCTTTCTTATCCAAGAACAGGTTGGCTTTCAATGGATGCCGAGACGATCCGCCGTTTTTTCCGGCGTCTCGTGCACTCCCTGTCCTTAGCCTTGGCCGCCTTTCTTTCCCGTCCTCCGTCTCTCTTCCTTCTGCACGCCTTTTTCTCTCCTCTAGCTAGATTCGCTTTTCGCCTCTCTCCTCTCCCTCCCGTTTTTCCCCTGGTTCATTATTAAGATGTTTTCCCTAAGGACAGCGCAGTCCACGCAAGTAAGTATCTACACATACCCGATCAGTGGCTGACTTCGAATTGTGTTCTCTTTGTTCTTGGTTCACCCTTGGCTATTTGTCTACCTTCCTTCTGCCCGATAGAAACCGACCATTACAGGCTCTTTTTTTTCCCACCCCCTCCTTCCCGTTTAATCCCCCATGAGCTTCAGTTCTGGTATATTTCAAATCGCACGCCTTGTCACTTTATTTTCCCCGGAATTACCACTCTTATATATGTTATATTTCACGTGTAATGTCCCCACCATTTTCCTCGCTCGCTAACTTGCATCCGCATCCTGACAGTCTTTCCTCCGTCGCGCTGCGGTGACAGCTCCCTCCGTCCGCTCCTCCCTGGCAGCAAGATGTATGTCGTCTAAATCTTCTCCGTATGACTAGTCTTCCATTGATCATATGGCTGACTTGCGAGTTTTAGCATTTGCTAGCGTTCAGTCGGACATCTTCAAGCCGACTAAGTATGGTGGCAAATACACTGTGACGCTTATTCCAGGTATATATACGTTCCCGTATACCCTTTAGAATCAACTTTTGACCTGCTGACACCTTGGACTTAATTTTGAGCAAAGGTGATGGAATCGGTGCTGAAGTTGCTGAATCGGTCAAGACCATTTTTAAAGCCGATAATGTGCCCATTGAGTGGGAGCAGGTAGATGTCAGTGGTGTTGATGCGGGTAACAAGCACTCGGAAGAACTTTTCAAGGAATCTATCGCGTCCCTTCGCCGCAACAAGCTGGGTCTCAAGGGTATCCTCTTCACTCCGGTTGAGCGCTCGGGCCACCAATCATTCAACGTTGCTCTCCGACAGGAGCTTGATATCTTTGCCTCGATTGTTCTGATTAAAAATATCCCGGGCTACAAGACACGCCATGAGAATGTCGACCTTTGCATCATCCGTGAGAATACTGAGGGAGAATACTCTGGCCTTGAACATCAGTCTGTCCAAGGTGTCGTCGAGTCGCTGAAAATCATCACTCGTGCCAAATCTGAGCGTATCTCTAAATTTGCTTTTGGCTTTGCCCTGGCAAATAACAGGAAGAAGGTTACCTGCATTCACAAGGCGAACATCATGAAATTGGCCGACGGTCTGTTCCGTAGCACTTTCCACAAGGTTGCCGAAAATTATCCGACTCTGGAGGTCAACGATATGATCGTTGACAATGCCTCTATGCAGGCCGTGTCCCGGCCCCAGCAGTTCGACGTCATGGTCATGCCCAATCTGTACGGCGGGATCCTTTCCAATGTCGGGGCAGCCCTTGTTGGTGGACCAGGCGTTGTCCCTGGCTGCAACATGGGTCGCGACGTTGCTGTGTTTGAACCCGGCTGCCGTCATGTCGGGCTTGATATCAAGGGCAAGGACCAGGCGAATCCCAGTGCTATGATCCTCTCTGGGTCTATGCTCCTGCGTCATCTCGGCTTGGATGACCACGCAAATAGAATTTCCAAGGCTGTGTACGATGTCATCGGTGAAGGGTGAGTAATATGACCCGCTCCTGGGATACTTTGTTTCCTTGCTGACAACCTCCTAGTAAAACGAGAACTCGTGACATGGGTGGACAGGCCACCACCCATGAGTTCACCAGGGCCGTTCTGGACAAGATGGAGGCTGCCCTGTAACTTATGGGATCTCTGTCCGGCTTAATCGCTGTTCTCACGATAATGAAAGCTTGTATAAGCCAGTAGATTACTCAGTCAATGCCATGCTGGCTCTCTGGGTTTCTCCTTTTACTGTATTATCTTTCGCTGAAGCGACATCAGGGGCGTCCTACTCAATTGAGGCTTATCGCAATTTTGCGGAGCTAGTAGGATGTGTAAAATTATATACTAGTGTTTTGAAATAGATGAAATTTCGCTCTATTCAGAACCAGAATACATAGTTCCATCTAGTATCCCACAAGTTTGTTTGGGGGGCGGGGGAGGCCTTCCTCGCGTTGGCCAAATTTAAAGACACTTCTTCAAATGCAGCAGGTCTTGGCTAAAAGCCAACCCAAATTGGCAAGAGAAGAATACCACTGTAAGGTCAGTACCCACAGTTAGTCTATGAAGACTTAAGAACCTAGGAGGATATCTGATGTTTTACCTCCTTTTGGATGAACCCTGCTCTGAATGAATCCGCGCCTGGATGGTAATGGCCACAACGCAGTAATTGGATACATCAATGTTGTTTGTGGCCACGGCTTGAATTTGTTTTTCTGCCTTATTGTTTTCTGTTTCTTGCGCAATGAATCCAAGCACCAAAGATATATCGACTTGATCAAGCACGGAAAGCTAACCATGGCTGGACGGTTAGAAAGCTGGACGACGCTTTCTGCCCGTGTACCTAGAATTCTGTTTCACAACCTTGCCCTTTCTCTCCATCTGTTCCTTTTTCCGCATAATCCAAGCCTTATCGCCCTTCCGGGGCAGTTGCATTTTCCCATGCTCCATTGCCTTTCTTCTGGCATCCAGGATATTAACATCATCCATTCCATTCACGACGCCTGTAATATCACCTTGCAGACCACCGCCTCCAACAGTCAAAACAAGGTACAGCTTGCTGTTCTTTGTCCCGGGATCATCTTCTAGGATGCCAGCTCCGAAACCAGCCTTGATGGCAGCTCCACTGATCATATTTCGCTGTGCATCATTTTTAGGATAGAATTGACAAACAGCACGACCTCCACGCCGTAGGCTAGCATAAAGACCTTCAAAAAAACGCCGCAGGCGGCCTTCAGGACTAACATCACTCGTTTCGGCGTTGCAGAGCCACTGGATGGCACTGATACTGATAGCTGCATCAAACGTGCCTGGACGAAATGGTACTCCTTGCCCAATATCAGCTAGAAATAAATCACCTTCTACATCCCGTTGAAGGGCGATATCAAGCATGCTAGGTGAGATATCCATGCCTATCCAGGTATGAGGTCCCCCATGTTCAGGGGCCACTGCAGAAAGAATTTCACCCGATAGTCCGGAGCCACAGCCGATATCTAGAATCAGTGACGGAGATCGAAGGTCAAGAAGTTCGAGTGCTCGATTGGTCATATCAGACTGTATGTTACGGATTCGCGAGGACGTGGTATATTTGCGAGATTCATTGTCGTCATAGAAAAGGTCAGGGGGCCTTGGGTCAAGGACAAATGAATTCTCGGTAAGAGGTTTGTGCAAGTTCTTCGGATTGGGGATCTTACAGGATATCCTCTGGACGCGACATCACTGCTATCTTAATTTAAAGACTCCTTTTTCTTGGTGAAGGGCCTTAGAGAGCAGACAAAACGTATGCCTACTTTGAGTTAAAAAGTTGAAGGTGAAATGTTCAGTAGAAACTTTTTATAGGATTGAGAAATAAGCTCGAAATAGAAGAGTTGAGGAACAACAGGAAATCGACTTGATCTAGACCTTTGCTTTTTCTCTCTCCCTTTTTTTTCTTTTTTCTTTTTTTTTTCCGGGTTCATGGCTTTCTGCCGGAGGGGAAAGGTGGAGTTGGTGCCTTGTGACGGCATATCAAAGCCTGAGGCATGAAAACATAAAACATATGTGGTACTTCATAAATCATTGACCGCGGTTTATTCCAATCACTTAACTTCAGTCATTTGCCTCTGTGTCGGCTCGGATATCATATTCCAATTGATCAGACCGCTTTCATCATCGGACACATACGATCGCCAAGCTTCATTTGTCCACTCCCTCCCTAACCTCACAACATACAATATATTAATCGGAGCTAGATTGACACTTTCAGCTCTCCAACATGTGGATCCTACCCTTACTAGGATATTTGGGGGTTATTGTGGGGTTCTCATTTCTTACTTTGGCCATAGGTAAGATATGCGTGTTGCCTCATAACCAGCAAGCTGCCAGGTTGGATATCTTGCTAGTAGACGTGAAACGAAACACCCCCATACGCTTTGTTACGGCTCAATTGCCAACAAGTGACTTCAATCGTACTCAGACTGCACTGGACTAACAGATTTCTAGCTTCTGGGCTCTATTATATGTCGGAACTTGTAGAAGAACATACTGTTCTCGCCCGTCGCCTTTTGACTCGGTTGATATACAGCATTATCCTCATCCAGATCCTCCTATTCGTTTTTGACCGGTTTCCTTTCTCTCTATCTCTTCTTGGCATCGGCTCGCACATCGTCTATGCAAGCAATTTAAGACGGTTCCCCATCGTCAAGCTATCGGATCCCTTTTTCATTCTGTCATGTGTTCTTGTTGGTCTAAACCATTGGCTCTGGTTCCGTCATTTCTCGAAACCTCTGCCTGCGTCGCGAGCTGCATCCAACTGGCGGCAACCATACCAAATAAATGCGGAGGACATGCCGACTTTCACTGAAGTTGCATCTTATTTTGGACTTTGTGTCTGGCTGGTCCCTTTTGCGCTTTTTGTCAGTCTTAGTGCAGGTGAAAATGTCTTGCCCAGCATAGGGTCCGAATATGCCACTGGTGATCATGTTTCAACTCCGGGGTTTACTCGCAATACTTTGACTTCAGATGGGAAATCCAAGAACAAGGGCATGGCAAAGGCTCTGGTGGATAGTGTTCGAGACTGGGTCAAAGAAAACGGTGAACTGATGGGATTCTGGAGAGGTGAACGCTCCAAAAGGTTCTGAGGCGCCACAAAACAACGTAATGAGCATCATGTTGGTCCGTCCTAGCCTGGTTAATGTATTTGTCCTACGATCACTATTAACAGCGACAATAACTCAAAGCATGAGTGGGTTGATCTGACTTTGATCAAACTTCACACGCCTATATAAACCTAAGTAGGCGGCAAAAAGTTTAAATTGTTTAAAGGTGTCAAGAGGCATTGATGCAAGTATATAATGGATGGGTATATAACACTTTGAATTTTGTTCTGCGACGTGATGGGGACCAGGTATAAAGAGATGATGGAGAGGGGTAAGGACAAAGAGGACAAGAACACGATTTAAGCAGCTTGCAGAAGGTCTGTGCAAGTCCTGTCATAACCAATAGAGGTATACCACCGCCCATCCCTGCATTGAGTACGACCAAAAGGTAGCTGCCGTTTAAAATAAGGACTGTCTAGTGTGAGACAAAGTTCAAACAAAAATGTAGGTAATGCAGGTAAGGTGAAATTGAAAAAAGTAAGAGCCATCTCTGGCGATTATCATTAGTATTAGATGTTCACCCTTTGGCGCTTGGCTGAATCTGGTCAGAGCTGTATGTTCGAGTCATTTCAAGTTCGTTCAAATCATGATGGCCTTGATTGTTGAAGCAATGTCCATGTGCAAGATCAACGACAAGCTGAGGCGATTGTGCGGGGGGGGGGGGGGGGGGATAAAAGCAGAACATATACGTTATTGTGGACCGCTCAGATTCCCCTCAGTGCAGGGGGTGAACGCACAAGGTGCAAGATGATCAGGCTAGTAATCGTCAGGCTCGTGACTTTAGCAAGGAATAGTTGAATTTACTCACCATCATTATCGTGCGCAGAAGCAAAAGGAGAGTTAAGATGATTAACCTCCATAAATAGTAGAGAGCTTTCTCTTCTTTTCGATTTGATGGAACGCGAAGTTTCAGGATTTGGTGTCAACATCTTGCTCGTTGTGGGTGGAGTGGTATGTTCCTCGTTATTACTTTCCAGGAAGTTGCTAGATGACTGGTCGTAGCTCGATTGGTGTGTTATGCATTCATCACGGTCACGAGGATCTCCCTGTTTACGGAAAGTTGTTTGAGTATGTAAACTCGGCATCTCTGTCAGCATTTGGCTTGGCGCAAAATGAGAGATCTCAGGAGACGTAGGACTATCTATGATGGGATCCTCAAGGTCTGAACGCGTTCCTAGCAGGTCTTCAAAGATTCGCTCAAATTCAGTAAGAAACATCGAGAACACAGGTGCTGGAATGTTTAGTGTTGGAGCAAAAACTATGCCAACATTTCTGACTGTCATTTTATTGACATCAGAGTTGTTCACGATAACAATCAAAAACTGGACCAATGCTCGCAGTAAAGCCAAGTTTGGTCTCGGAAGTCTGTGGACAAGCGAGTTGAATGCCGCGATCTTAGTCTGTCTTTCATTAAGCTCTGGAGCGAAGACTATTAGCATTAAGATTCACAAACATCACTCTAGATCAATATCCGTGCTTACCAAGAACACGCAGAAACTTGATATGAAGTTCGCGAGTGAGAACAGTCGTGGGTAACTCTCGCAGATATTGCTTGAAAAGGGAGGCCACAGCATGTACATCGTAATATTGATCACCGGCGAGGAAGTCCACATCCCCTTCAGTATTGAACCTTTCTTTGAGCGCCTTGACAACGATGTTTGACCCACTTAATCGAAATATCCCTTCCTCTGATTCTGCACCCTTGGCCGTGAGGTACTCGATGCAACGGTAGACTACAGCAGGTAAATCAACGTCGATACCCCGCGGCGCACAGAACTGCACCGCCTCCGCCAATGGGATGCCAAAGACTGGCCTGACAAGGTCCCTTCTTTCGCCGGAGGTAAGATTATGCGGTTGAACCGATGGGGAGTCATAACTGGCTTGCAGTTGTGAGGCAAGGTCGACTGACGATCTCGTGCGGAATCCCCAGATGCTACGTTTTTTTTCCTTGGTACTAGTTGCCGACTTATTTCCCCAAGCCCCCGCGTCCTGGATAATAGCTCCATTTGTGGGTCCAGATATGATTCTAGATGAGAGCTGGCCAGTGTCCGGCACCTGGTTCGTTGCTTGGGTTGCATCTGTAGGGTCGGTTGGTGACATTTGAGGAAAAGTGGGTGACATAAGTGCCTGTTGTTCGTAAGGTGGTCCGAAAACTGGCGGTTCGGCAGGGATAGCATCCTCGTAACTAAATCCTTGAACTATATCGAGGCCTTCAAGATCCGAACTATCGGTTGTTCTGTTGTTCTTGTTTCCATTCGGGGGCATTTTGAGGTTAACCGTTGTGTTAGCAGGGTGTGTACCAGAGACCTGACCCTTTGAGGATCCACTATTCGATGCTTCGTTCTCGGATTGCCCTTCTACATATTCCAAGAGTGCCTCTACCCAAGAATCCCTCTCTTCGTCGCTTTCTGCGCACAAAACATGTCGCACAAGAGCTGATGAATCCTTTTTCTTGGGTTCTAAAATTAGAAACGCGTGGCGATATTGATTGTCGGAGTCCTCTTCACCTCGTGCAGGCGGGTTATTATTTTGACCATTTGTGCCCTGCGACTGCTTGCCAATCTGGGCATTGTAAATTTTGATAGTTCCAAGGTGAGGACCACCTGGCGATTCAAGGTATTTCAGCTCGGGTCCATGGAGAACAAAGTACCGAGCCTTCCAACCGCCAAAATTCTTGCCTCTTTTTGTTAAATAGCCCTCTTTTCTGGGCTTACCATCTGGACCACGTAGTATTTCGGAGCTCATGTGTTGACTACCTTTTAGCAAACTGGTTTCATCATCCCTTGGCTCAATAGCATCGGATGTGAGGAACTGGCATATAACCAGAGCCGCTTTTTCATCCATTGGTGTATCGAGAAGTGCTTCGAAGTATGCATTTAATGCGGCTCGCCTCGCATCCACCTTGGCTGGGGAATGCCCGCTGAATATTGATCTGTCTGGTAGCTTCCCCCCGTAGCTAGATAACTGTTTTACTTGCTGATCAAGTTGTGGGAGTGCCGCAATGACCTTTTCAACACGCCAGAGCTCCAAGTTTTCAGAACGCGAAAGGACGCTCAGTGTAAAAACAGGCTCCTCTTCCGAAGGCCTAGACGCTAAGTAGCTGTTTCGCGAGGGGCGAAGTCGTGATGACGACACTTTAACTAGCACCAAAGGCAGAGCATTTGGAGGTAATAGAAAGCCTGGGTAGTCTTCTGAAACCAATCCCCGATAAATACCATCGGAGTTTGACACTGTGGACCTAGTGCTATCGGCTCTAACAGTGGCGTCGATCGAGGGGATAGATCGACTGGCTACGTCGACTGGCATGTGTGAATGTGTAGCGCTAAAGGGGGCCTGATACTTGCTGACATGAGGTGATAGAGCTAATCCCGAAAGGCCACTTTCTGTGGCTATCGGTTGGGAAGCCATGTTGTTGGCCATGTCTCTGGGCAACCGAGGCAAAGGGGAGTTGGGTGGGCGATCTTCAGGCCTTGGGCTGACAGGCAAGCCAGGGCTCTTCGGCGCCATGATAACAGGATGATCGCCGAGAGTCATACGAGGACTTAAAGGAGTTGTTAAATATTCAGATGAATCAGTGATTGGAGCTGCCTTCGTTGAATGAGAAGATTCGTTTCTCGAAGAACTAAGCGTAATATTTTCGCGTGCCAGGGCAGCTTCACGTTCACGATCATCGTCATCGCGTGTTTTTCTTCGTCCCCGTTCTACGGGTAATTCATCAACTGCCAAAATATCTTCATACTCAGATTCAGAGTCGTAGATGTCTGGGTTGCCCAATAAAGTGCGTTCGCCTTGGACGAGATTCAAGGGCGCAGGTGGAGGTTTACGCACAGGATGTGGGACTCTTTGCTGTTTATCTTCACCTGGTACAGTATCGTTAACAGGGGAGCTGGAGCTTGCCAAAGAACTTGGGCTCGCAGCCGCTAATTCTTGTTGAGGATACACTGATGGCGGGGGAGGTTGCGAGCCTAATCGCCGATCCAGTCTCCCTGTATGACCCGTAGAACACTCCTTAATCAGGTTTTCCGATAAATCCTGTACAGCCACGTTCTGCGACCGGATAGTGCTAGATGATAGGTTCCGCCCGATAGAACTGGGGCTATGTGGTGACACACCTTGATACTGCGATTTCCCTTGCTCGGAATTCCTCTGTCCAAGAGATTTATCTTCACTTTCGATGGCTTTATGCTGGAAGTGAAGCTCATTGTTAGGTGGTAAAATTGGTGCAGGGCTCTGCAACTCCTTGAACTTCTTCCTATATCGCTCTTTCTCTTTCAAAGCACGTTCAAGATCTTTGTTTAACCCAAGGATAAGTGTTCTTTGTTTATCAACCAGTCTCCAAAGTTGTGAATTCTGAGATGCTGCATGATGCTTTTCCTTCAAAAGATGTTTGATTACTGCCTCGGCAGACCCTGCAGTGGCGATGAGATTCCCAATATCAGCTTGGCTCAAAGCTGTAGCATCAAATGAAGACTTATGGGACTGTGAGGCGGAAGAGAGAGATGATATCGCAGAGTCAATTGAAGAAGTGCGGGGCATGATGCGCTGCCCGGATCGCTCCCCAGGCGCCGAGGCAGATGATATAGGTGAAGGTGTTGAAGATTGGTTGGCTTCCATTGCGTATGAAGATTGTCGAGATTTAGTGGGCATTGTTTGTTCAATCATGTTCCGATCATGCTGGTCAGGCCTATTCAACAGCAAACTTCCAAATGCGCTCACTGAGACTTGTGTGGCACCGGATGGAGGCACCAGGAACGTCGCATGAGTTATTTAATAACTGATCGAGCGTTTTGAAAGAACAAAAGTGCAACCAACTAACCTCCGCGACAGAGGACTTTGCGATGGGTTAGTGGTGAATTGGTGGGGTGACTGGAGGTGATTGCTTGTATACAGGGTAGTGAAGGAGATTTACGGAGAGCAATGACCACAGCCTCAGCAGCGTACGATCGTGGTAGCAGATGGTCACGGGCAATGAAGTGGAATCGCCGGTCAATGTTGAATGTGTAAGCAACCGATGTCTTGCTGAATGTGGCCTTGGAGGCCCTGCGAAGAGCTGGTTGAGGTTGTTGAAGTGTTGCTGCTGCCCTGCCGCCGAAGTTGTTACATAGCAGATTGTGTAGGAGTCGGAGCTCGAATTGGAAAAGCGGACCACGAGTGGGTGCTGGACTCGAGCGGGTAATTGAGTGGGTTATGGGTGTCGGCTCAGGGGTAAGATAGTAGTAGTATTCCTATTACTACTTAACTGTCCTTAGTACCTATTTATTATTACCAGGTAATGTAGGTTACCGTGACCAAGGGAAATAATAATAGGTATACGAATAGTAGGTAGTTGGAAATAACTTACGGCACCAAATTATAGTAGTACAAACTGGGTAGATATGCATGGCTGTCTACTCTATGTAGTGGATAAGTATCAAGTGCATACTACTGAATGATAAAAATACACATACACAGAAAGTACATAGGCATAGATGGTAGATAAAGTGCCAGATTAGAATGTGAGTGGAGGGGGAAGATGTGTCTGTACTAATACTGTATATGATATACACATACAGACTACTATAGGAAACACAGAGTGCGGAAAAGGAGGAGTGCGACGTACTAGTAGCTCTAGTACAGTACATACATACATTGTTTAGTTTGCCCCACATACTAACTACTTAGCAGTAAGTAAGTACATGGTGTTATTAATTAGAACTAAGTCCTACAGAGTATGCAACTAATGCCTTATCCGGATCTTCTTATTCACTTCTTTGTTCCCCATTCATTTGTCTTTTGCTCTGTATACTCACTGTATTTACAGAGTATGCTATTGTGGATATACTTCCCAAAACAGTAACATGGTGAATAATTGGGCAGTTATATTCACCTTACAACATATGTAGTTACAATGTTAATATTATGTAATCTAACCCCCATATTAATAAGATTTGTGCAATGTGCTTTGGTGGTACTGTTCCATGACTCAGCCTATGGCCGTGGATTAGTTAATGTATGTTTCGACAACTATCACCCTTTCGAATCCATTTCTATATTGTCAAGCAGACTATTTGAAACGTAGTATACAGGTTCAAGGGATGGATGCTAAGGGGGCTAAGCGGAGATCAATGAGAAGAGATAAAAAAGAATGAGCCCAGGTCCACGTCAATGCTACCAAAGGATGAGGCGATGAGTATATCAAACAGGAGCTGAGGGAATCACGACGTCTATTCCTCGCTTCGGAAGATAATCACAAGGCGCTTCTAATTCCCCGAACGCCTTTATTGTCCAGATCTTAAAACGCCAGAGAATCACACATAGAAATACAAGGTCATGCTATATTTCCAGCCATACCCATAAAAATAGCCTGGGCTGCTAATTGGAGTGACCAAAACCCTACCTTCTTGAAACGTCGCTTGCGTGCTTGCTCATCCACAACATCTCGTGCGAATGCGTCATACACCTACAAGACATCAGCGTGAGTTCCACATTGTGCGGAGAGACACGGTCGACTTACCGCTGCCGAAAGATCATCCATTAAGCCGCTATCGAATATAGTCCAGCTGCCGTCGAAATCACCAACTCGCTTGACAAGGCGGCAATTAACAGGGATGAAAGTACGTCGTGAATTGATGTATGCCACAATGGGCCTGATGAGGGCATTGTTTATATATGAGAGATCTCGTGTGAATAAGGGGACAACTGCCCTAACATTGTTTAAGTGCAGTCGTAAGTCGGTGACGAGAAATCTCCTGTTGTTCTCACTAACAGTTTCGCCAGGCTGAGTTGGGTTTTCCGATAACGTATCACGGTACTGAGTAGATGTGACAGTTGCTTCTAGTCGATCATAGATGTCAGCCATTACCTTAGTTAGGCTTTCGTCATTTTCTGCTGGAAACATGATGTCGGCAACAATGTCGACAGTTCCTTCATGTATCCAGGAGAAAGGCCCTTGTACTCCGCGGTTTAGATGATCGATGTTCAAACCATCGATGCGTATCCGGCTATGTTTCTTCCAAGGACTCGTTCTGCCGTCCTCTCCTACTCCATTGTCTAACTGTGCTCCGGTGAAACTGTGAGTCTGTCGTGGATGAATAGTGAACAATGAATTGTCAAAAGATCCTGACATCATATTGGCTGACATGAAGTCATAAAACAGCCACTGCTTTCTCAGTTGTGGCAGATCGCAAGAGAATATACTAACAGAAAAAGGTCTGAAATTGTCTGGCTGGTAAACCGTGACTAGCACATCGCTCATCTTAAAAGAATCGATCTCAAAGTCTCCGGGGTTGTGTTCATGCCGGTAGGATTTTGGGTCGAGGTCATCATCTGACCAATAAACATATCTGCGGTCAACAACGCCCCGTATCCCTTGAATCTCGACATCACGCAGTAGCCCTTTGCCGTTGATCCATTTGGTGAATGATAGTGTAACGTTCACTGTCTCGATTGCCAGGTCAAATTGCGTATAGTTCGTATCCTCTTCCACCGATGAGTGTCGTTGATCCAAGATGTCCGAGTTAGGCTGATCACTGAGCGCTGCAGCCGCAGCCACGGCAGCTGCAGTTTTAGGCGAGCCTTTACTAACATGACCTGTTCCTTGGCCGGGTCGCCTGGAGACAAAGACATTCTTGAACGTTATCACGCCATCTCTCCACTTGGGGACAATCGCTGACTCGAACACAACTTTCACTCCCGAAGATTTCGTGAGATAGTTACCTATCCAGCCAGCCAAGGTTTCTGTATATCCTTAGTAGAGAATCGAATCACGGACATCCAGACCTGGAACATACCTTGGGCGAAAACGGTATTGATTGCAATGATCAACAAGGAAAAGAATGTAGTTGTGCCTAACACAACCCAGACAACATGCCCTAGAAGTACCCAGGAAAAGAGTGCTGTTATCTCGTCCAGATTAAAAGGTCGAACGCTTCGAATTGAGAACCACTTGAATCGTACTTTGAGCCGAGACCAAAAGCCGTTGGCTGCAGCCAATAGCTCCTCTTTGCTGGGTCGGTGCAATTGTGGCATGTGTGGGAAACGGTCAATCAGATGGCGGGTCGATGGCCCTGGCTGTTGCAGCCCAGGCATGTCCTGCTTTGACTTTGTGTTCTTCGTGTTCACCTCATATTCAGAAGATTTGACATTCTCCCAGGAGCTTCCATTGCTGTATCTCAGAGATTCCATATGTGCCTCTATCTTCGGTGGATCATCCTTGCTCGCGCGGGAGCCTCTTGGTGGTGATGCATTTCTTGATGAGCAGTGAAGAAGCCTTCTATCGAACTTGTAGGTCCTATGCGTAACATGGGCTATAATCTTTTCAGGGCCTACCGCACAAGTTGTCCCAGTCTCTACCGCAGTCGAGTTTGGGGATATTCCGAGTACAAGAAAACTGCCCGAAGCGAATCGTCTGGTGATTTGTGTCGTCTTTCGGGGTGGGAAGGAGGATATGTTCTTGGTTCGTCTTTTGAACAAAAGGTCGTATATGATGTTGTTCGAGTTTGTTGCTGTATCATAAAAATGTGGTGTGCGACTTGCCCAGAGCCCTCGTCCAAGGAAAGGATTCGCTGCTTCCCAGAAGCTGGTGTACAACCTGCGTCCAAAATTGCTAGACATTATTGCCGTCACATGCTGGAAATTGTATGATGATGAGGTGAAACAAGGGCCTTTCCAGTTATTTTGAAGCAGAAATCTAGTAGCGCTTTCCGAGACCTCCGATGAAATGTGACAGACAAATGTGTGCCTGTGGACTTCGAAGTCGAGAAGTGTTTAACGTTGGTTCTCGGACAAAGATTGCATGAAATCATAAACCCGCGCCTAAATACGTTTGTCTTGTTTGCAACCGAAAACTCTAGATTTCCCACTACATCCACCATCCTTTTACAGTTCCCGAAAATCATTACCAGCAACCCAAGCAAAATGCCAGCCCCAACAGCACTCAAGAAACTTGATCAGACAACAGCGGCCGGCACACCCGTCACTCAGGCTGCTATAGGTATGTTTTATATATGTTAAGTCTCCACCAGCTATTTAACTAACTTCTAAGACCAAGATGACGAAGTTCTAATTGATGCCCAGACATCAGCGGAGCAAAGCGTACCGGTGTTTGTCTCCGCAGAAGAAAATGCCCTAGACACCGACATGCGCATTGATGAGGAGGGTCGGCCAGTTTTTACGCCAGCAAAGGATACCAATACTGTATATCGAGTAGAAACTCGGAAGGTGCCTGTTCCTCCACATAGGTTTTCGCCTCTCAAGGCCTCCTGGAGTAGAATATACCCCCCGCTAGTTGAGCACCTCAAGCTACAGGTGCGCATGAATATCAAAAGCAGGGCGGTTGAGCTACGTACTTCTAAATTCACTACCGACACGGGCGCACTACAAAAGGGCGAAGATTTTGTCAAAGCCTTTACACTTGGGTTCGATGTTGACGATGCTATTGCATTACTCAGATTGGATGACCTCTATATCCGATCATTTGAGATCCGTGATGTTAAAGCATCGCTCCATGGAGAACATCTCAGCCGCGCTATTGGACGGATTGCGGGCAAAGACGGCAAACTTAAGCACTCAATAGAAAATGCCACCCGTACTAGGATTGTCCTCGCAGATCAAAAAATACACCTATTGGGTGGCTATCGCAACATCCTGGTTGCACAAGAAGCTGTTGTCAGCTTGATTCTCGGAAGCCCACCGGTAAGCCTGCCCATCTGTCATCAAGACATCCAAATACTAATTTACAATAGGGCAAGGTATATGGTAACTTGCGCAAAGTGGCATCACGCATGAAAGAGCGCTTTTAATGCCCGCGTACAGTTTTTTTTCTACTATTATTTTTTCTTTTAGATCTCTTTTGACCATGGTACTGGCGTTAAAGGTGGAAACGAAAATGGCTTCGACATAATTGACATGATGGTGAAGAAAAAGTGGTTTACACCAGAATTATCGTATCCATGCTTTTATACCATGAGTAACGAAATACCGGAATGAACTTGATGAGACGCAATGTCGAGTATAGCCTCCCTCTAGTCCTTTTTCAGTGGAGTGTAGATTTCTTCTATCCCGTTTTGCGTAATAACCATCATTTGCAAGCCATCTCCAACTTCGATATGTCGCTCTACAGCGCTGGTAAATGCATCACGCACGAGCTGTTCGACGGTCCCCCTGGGTAATGGCTGAGGCTTCTTAGGTTCGAGAGCATGCCCGTCCCCACTGCCGGGGATGTATTGATTTTTGAAGTTGACTTGGTTATCCAAGAATGGCATGATCAAACTTGCGGCGGATCCGGCTGCTCTGCACTGTTCTCTTTCGTATGAGCCTACCGGATCGTAGCTGTACAACGCTCCTTTGCCCTCTTCATCCAAACCGGCCAGAATAGCATGCACATAATAGGGAAAGAAACGTTTTTGGTAAAGAATGGTCGACAATCGCTGAGCGCAGGCTCTGACAGACATAGGCTTCCCGTGCTGATACTTGTACATCTTCACCACTGCATCTAATCTTTCTTTGAGTGCTTGGCCATCCGCAGCGAAGCCCACGACCGACAGAATAATATGGGCACCCTCGCCAGTATCGTCATCACCACCAATTTTGAAAACCTTGGGAGCATAGCGAGAATTGATATTATACCCTGCCACTGAACGAGTGTCTCCAGCAAGGATAGCGAAGTCAGCACCTGTAATACCCAAAGTCGAGCCACCGTTGTCAGTGTACCTAGTTAGGTCAGTATCAGCACCCAGGCTACTTATAAGAGTTGGGTACATACGGGTAAAATGAGTGTTCTTTGTTTGGAGCGTTTGTTGGCTGAGAGAAGGAGTAGCCGACGGCCTCGCTCTGAGGTTGGTGACCCATGAAAGACATCATCTTCTAAGTGGTATCTCAGTATCGACCAAGGTTAGGAGATAATTCGAGGTGAGTACAGGGAGAGTGTAACGTGGAGTCGTTAACTTGGATAACACAAATGGCTTCTAGATTTGGATGAATCTCGATCGGGGGAAGAAGATGAGTAGTTCTTGGGTGGAGCTATTACTAGTAGTATTATCGCTGTGACGCGGTGCAGCTGCCTTCGGCTTATATAAGCTGATAGCTCACAGCTCCCTTCTCCACTAGTACTTGAACTGTCTTTCTACTGCAAGCAAAACAGTGCAGTACGTTTGTATTGAAACGATTGAAGCCAATCCAGTCTCAGACTTGTGGCTGCTGCTTTGACTGACATTTAACGGTAGAGAGTTCAATCTTAACCATACTCTATAGCTTGCGAAACGAGAGAGCGCCCACTCAGACAACTCATCCGACCTCAGACTTGCAGTCATGTTAGGCCTTGGAGCGTATGAAAGCAGCAGCGAGGACGAGACTGCGAAGAAGGCCCCCTCAGCAACAAAGGTGATATACACAACCTCGATGTGTACATATATTTGAGGCTAAGCCGTTCAGTGCATAAATAAGGGGCAGCCAGTTCAAGTATTGAAATCAGCATATGCGGGTATGTTTCACACTCATCCTTTCAGTTGCTCACGTCTAATCGTACATCGCCTCTAGTGCCTGATAAATGCCCAAATTTTCCAGAGACGGCTACCAGCCGAGAGCCCAGTGGTCCTATTGTTGGGCCATCACATGAAGAAGCAAAGCCAGAACCGCACTTCAGCGAGCGATCCCGCTTGTCCAACTCCCGTACACTTATTCATGACTTAACATTACCACCGGTTCCGAATTTAGATATTCCTCTATCACCTCCTGGCTCACCCAATTCCAATGTGAATGCAAAATTCGCCCATTTCCTATCGTTGAAGAAACAAGGAGTTCATTTCAACGAAAAGTTAGCTTTCTCAGCATCCTTAAAGAACCCCAGCTTACTCAAAAAATTGATGGAGCATGCGGGTATTGATGATCAGATGCAATATTTTACCTCCTTGCCGCCTGAAGTATGGAACGTTTCGGGTCTACCGAGATGGGGTTTCAAAGAAGAACTATTCAAGTCACAGAAAAAGTTTCACCAGAAAGCCGAAGAGCAGTGGAGTGCAGACCAAAGAGAGACAATTGAGTTTGTTGCCGCCACAACTGCCGATTGTGATGGTGTGAGGTCAACCTCCAGTTCACGAGCGAGACCATGTTAACTCTTCATGAACATGGTCAGACCTTGCCCATTGGGAGCTCTTCATGAAGGTTGTTGCGCACAGTGCCTAAAGGACAATTATTAACACCGGAAAAAATAAATTCATATTACTGATAAAATGTGCTATACACAAAACGCAAGAGGGGTTTTCTTTGACCCCATCTTAATCCATGAGTACTCTGAATACAACTGTATAGTTCGACAAAGGAGTAACAGTATCAAGTCCGGCCTATAATCTGTTTCTTGCTACATCCAAAGACAAAGAATTGTAGAATTATTGCTTAACTGGGCTGTAAAAAGATGCGACAATTGAGGTGCAGAGGAAGTTGCGTCTAGTGAGGTAGGGAGGTATTGATGGGCTGCAGAGAGACTCGCTAAGCGCGTGGACAGTACGGAGTACCGGTTCCGATAAGCGCGCCGCCCGTGGGTGTTGCTAACGTAACAACGAGCTCCGTCAGCTCTTACTGCCTAGCTTCAACTGAGTGCTTATTACCCAATTTACCAACTCAACTCTTCCAGCTGTCAAATCGAATCTAACCAAGCCTTCTACTTTGAATCAACTTTTTAATATCTCCAGTCACTACATTGTTCTATAGATCATAATTTCCCACCTTTCACCATGAATCACTATCCTGAAGTCTGGGGTCGGGTAAGTGCTCTATTACATGAGTGCTCTGACGTCTCTAACTGTCTTCCTCAAGCCTAGAGATGATATCTACGGGCCTTACAACTCCTCATACCTTCAGACCACTGGCCCCAAAACTCACACCCAGTCTCCTGCTGTGACTGGGACGTCAGTATTAGCGGTCAAGTTTAACGGTGGTGTGGCGATCGCTGCTGATAACTTGGGTATGGTCGCAGGCCTTTGATGTCATGTGGGAAGCTCGTAGTGAAAATATTGACATTTTCCAGCGTCGTACGGATCTCTCGCTCGGTTCACCGATGTTAAACGCCTGCGCGCGTTCGGTGACTCTGCCGTGGTCGGCTTCAGCGGCGATGTATCAGATATGCAATACATCGATCGGCTTCTGGAATCTATTGACATTCGAGAAAACTATTCGACACACGGTAATATGCTGAACGCCAAAAACCTCCATACATACCTTTCCAAGGTCCTTTATAAACGTCGCTCTGAATTCAACCCGCTCTGGAATCACATTCTCGTCGCGGGATTTGATGAAGACAAGAAACCCTTCCTCAGCTCGGCCGACCTTCTCGGTACTACATATTCAGCTCCACATCTCGCAACCGGGTTTGGTGCGCACCTTGCTATCCCCATCTTGCGTCGGCTGTTCCCTGAAGAGAAGCCCCTCGAGGAGATCAGTAAGGGCGAGGCAGAAGCGGCTTTGAGGGAATGCCTTAAGGTTCTGTGGTATCGAGATGCACGAAGTCTGGATAAGTATTCAATTGCAGTAATCACAGCGGAGGGAATTGAGATCAAGGAAGATCAGGTGATCGAGGCCCAGAGCTGGGCGTTCGCTGAGTCTATCAGGGGGTATGGAGCTCAAGTCAACTAGGTATAGCGTTGGTCATCGGCAAGCATTAACTAGCAAGGTCTTACAATTCCACGACTAAATAAATTTTCTTATTGGCAGAGAGAATCCATAGCGATCATGTTTCCACGGCAGACAAGGCAAATCTTTCCAGTCTTGTAGTACCTGCTAAAGATTCATCTAATTCTAAACGGTCTCTTTCATAGCTTAGATGATGGCTTTTCAAAGGCGACTCGGTTAACGCACGAACCCACATCTTCCAGAGAGACCTCAACCTGATCGCCATTTGTAAGCCAAGCTGCAGGTTTCTGGCCCATCCCAACACCCTGTGGCCTATAAAGGGACATGTAAGTGGGTAGTCCTTCTTTGGGGAGCAGAAATGAAAGATGAAGTAATGATGTAGAAGGGAGATACAACTTACGTTCCGGTGAAAATTAGGTCACCAGGCAGTAGAGTGGTGCCTTGGGAGAGAAATGACACCATCTTGGCGACCCCAAATATCATATCTTTAGTTGATGATGACTGGACCGTTCGACCGTTGACCTTAGTTGAGATATTTAAGGCGTTGGGATTGCGGATCAGCTTTGAAGAGACGATGCCTGGTCCAAAAGGTGCCCAACCATCGAAGCCTTTGCCCAACCCCCATTGTCCTCCGCCACGTTTGAGCTGCCAATCACGATGGGAAATATCGTTTCCTACAGCATACCCGAGTACATAATCCAAAGCATGCTCCTCAGGAATATTCTTGGCTTCTTTGCCAATGACAAGAACTAACTCACATTCATAGTCCAGCCCCTCCCCATCTTGCGCCATAGAGCATACGGGGATATCATCATGCGGACCAGTAATGGCTGTGATGGGCTTGTAGAAGAGGACCGGATACTTGGGGATGGGGAGGTTGGATTCTCTCGCATGCTGCTCATAGTTCAGTCCCAAACAGCGCACCGTTGCAACGTCCTCCCTCGCCAATGGTGCGAGGAGCGTTTTAACCTCAGCCACTTGGTTTGTGACTTGATGCTGGCCAAAAATATTCCCCTGAATCACCTGTGCCCTAGTCGCTTTCCCAATGTCACTGACACCAGTGGGCATAATGGCATCACCATAGTAAATGTGACCATCTGTAGCTAGAAAGCGGATGAGACGCTACATGGGCGAGGGGGGGAAACTGTCAGCCTACTTGGTGGGAATAAAGATGATACAGAGAATAGGATTAGGTAACATGGCTGGATAACCAGGGTTAATGGCTATTTCTTCGTGCCAGTGACATGAGACATGGTATATGCGTGACAACCCCAGATGTTAATCTGGGTATTGATATGGGTATGGGCGTAATGTATGAATACTTACAGAGAAGGTAGTCATTTTCATATCAGTGTTTGACTCCATGGAGAAGAGCGGAAAATGACAGGAGGATAGACCCTACTATTTGAATGGCCCCGACATAGGACTTTCATGTTCTGATTTCACTTAAATCGTACATATTATGTGTATGTATGTGCATACCTATGGGCTATCTTATCTGTCTCTCGGCCGGGAAAAGGAGATACCCGCTCGCTCCTCCCCCAGACTGGCGGGGACCGGAGGCTGGCGCTAGCACAATACTCACTATGTTCCGTGTCGCGGCTTACCTAGTGACCTTCCCTTATCCATCTCCGAAACAATCCGCCCAATGATGCGCTGAGCAAATTACACAGCACACATTGCCTTTTGGTGACATCGTGCGAAAACGTCATGGCTCGATTATCAGGTCTTCAGAGAGAGGTCTTGTCTCTCTATCGGAAATGTTTGAGAGAGATTCGAAAGAAACCCTTAGTGAGCAACAGACCTCTCTGAATTATCATTTTAATAAACATACATCTAGACTAATACGGTGTCCTACCCCGGCCCAGGAGACGAGAAGTAATTTTAAGACTTACGCTAGGTATGTCCCTGCTTCGGTGGTAATAGTGTTCTAACTCCGCTAAACGTTACATGGAGGAGTTGCTCATGACATGACACAGGACGGAATTTCAAAAATACATCACCGTTAACAAGAAGGATTTCAATGCTATTGAGTATTTACTGCGCAAAGGGCATAGGCAGCTTGAAATGTATTCCTCCCCTGGAATTCGCAATATCCAGTAACCTGGATGATCAAGCACTATCCGCAGTCAAAAATTGGTCCCAAGCGACAGAGAGGAAAGAAGGAGCAAAAAAAGAAAAAAACAAGAAGGGAAGGAGGGAATGGAATAGAAAGCAAGAAAGCATAAGTAAGCTAAGTAGAATAATATGTGAATACATAAACTTGAAAGATAAAGGAAAAACGACGAGGTTAGGTAACGTACAAGTGCAGACAATATCAGGAATTAGAGTCGCCCACATCTAGTTAATTATCACTTATCCAGACGGGCATTTTGGGCTCCTAGTGTTTCCTGAGGTATGGTGTCATGTGATCCATCTTTGGCGGTTACGGAAGGTTCGGGCAACTTCTCGTAAGTATAGCGAAGCCTCCAGAGCCATCTGGTAATCTCCAGAGAATATACTAGTCTCCCCCAGAGCATTCAGTCTGCTTATACGTACAACCAAATAAGATATGATAGTTACTTCTAGAATAAAATATTTTGAGTATAAAAATGGACAGGCAAGTTGTATTATTTACCCATTGTCTCTCAGATAGCACGAAATACATCAATATTTACAATTCTGGACTTGACTCTCCTAAGAGTCTCAGCATCACTTCCGATAGTATACTACCAAACCCTCAATTATAACGCATCTTACTTCAAGCTATGGCGTTCTTCCCCAACATCTCCGGCGACTTCGCTCCTTTGTTCCATTTACTTGATGACTATGATGTCCACCGAGCATGCCGCCCAAAGCGGAGGACTACACCTGTTCGCTCTTTGACGCCTCGCTTTGATGTCTATGAAATAAACAACAGTTACCACCTTAATGGAGAGCTACCTGGCGTAAATCAAAGCAGCCTCGATATCGAGTTCACCGACCCTCATACACTGGTCATAAAGGGCTGCGTCGAGCGCAACTACAGCGACAGCACATCCAATACCAAAGAGCAGGCCGAAGTTCTCAATGACGCCTCTTCTGTCAAGTCACTCCAGCCAACAGTTGAAGATGAAGATGAAGAAGCAAGCGACACAGCATCTGCCAGTTCATCTACCAAATCTTCAAAGCAGGCGACCACCCAAGAGCAGACCAAATCGCACTACAAATATTGGATCGCCGAGCGCCCAGTTGGCGAGTTCCACCGAGCCTTTACTTTCCCGACAAGAGTAGATCAAGATACAGTCAAGGCTACTCTGAAAGATGGGATCCTTTCCGTTATTATCCCAAAGGAACCTGCCCCAACCTTAAAGAAAATTCGCGTCGAGTGAATTGCCAACTATTGCGCTCGTGCGATTTCAACACCGAATCTATGATATAACTCCATTATGAATTTGGGAAGGCCTATACGAGGCGTTGAAGACGGTTGACTGAGCATGTTTAGTTGACATGCTACGGCGGGTTTGAGTCCTAAGGAGTTTTGCGGGTCATGGAATTGCATGTCTCCTCGTTGTTGTATGACTTGTATTATAGACAAATTATGACTGTTTAATGAAGATTTGACCTACTTTTAACCTGGAGTTATTGCTTCATCTTGTACAGAGTACTTATGACGTAAATCAATGAAATAACCCGAGGAAAGCCAATACTTCGACGGTATGCCATTAGTGTAAACCGCCTTGCTTCTTGCAAATGATTAGGGCCGATGTGCATACACGCGGTGGTATTATTACTGCCATATTAGCATCCATACAGTTTGGGGTATAACTTCGTCTCAGATAGTGGCGCCATTGTTACTCACAACAGGCCTATTCATGATGAGACACTTCCGGGCAGATAGATAATGTAGTCTGCTAAATATATCTATAAATGCTCAAATTGCATATTCGCCTCTATCTTACCAGGCCATTGGGTCCCTAAGGCTAGATTTATATCTTTCTTCTCGATCTACACCATTTACAATGTGAATTGCCAAACGCTACCTTCAGGGTGTCTGACTTATGCAGTGCACTGGTGCAGTAAGTGGTTGCTAAACATCGCTTCGCTGCTATATTGCCCCAAGTTATTTACTTCAAAGCTCACACTTACAGCCTCTCTTGCATCGTGATGTGTATCTACAGAGAGAAAGAGAGCGAAAGAGGAAAGAATATAAAAAAAAGCCAAGCAAAAAAAAGGGGTTGGTAAATATGGCCCGCATAGTTCATGTGTATTCCCCTCCATAATAGCAGAGAAGGGCAACGAAGAGAAAGGAACAAAGAGAAGGATAAAGATAAAAGAAGAAAAGGAAAAGAAAAGAGTGGCTTGACCGCCCATTGAAATCAGTAGTAGGAAAGATGGAACTTGAGTGGAACAATTGTGCTTTAGTAACAAAAGGTCGTCGACACGGGTATATCCAAAATGCAAGCTAGGAACCTCTCACAGTGAAACCTTTGATAATGTATTAACGCCGTATAAACACACACATACATCGAAAAGAAAGGGATTAACGATAGATGAAAGGTGATACTACCGCGTACATATTTTGTTGGTTTTGCTGTTTTGCTGACATGCGTCGTTCAATATCGAGAGTTCGGCTTCTTGCTCTACCTCTCAGGGATTCCGTATACATGTACCCTACATCCACAGCCCTTCCTGGGTACTGTGATGTGGGTGCCACAAGTGCCTCCATCTCTGATTCTAGGTGCCGAACATCTGCATTGGCCGCTATAGCTTGTGGGTTTTGCCCATACGCCACACTCAAAGTTTTCTTGACAATGCTTTTCTCCAACTTTGACCGACATGAGTTGAAAATGTAAGACTGGTCGCTGTTAATACCAGCGTCAATTTTCCTTTGATTTGAATTCTCCAGCCCTGTGTCACGGTCATAGCTGAGTCTTGAATAATGATTTGCGAAACTTTCATAGATCTGTACGTCTGATATAGTATCATCAGCCGCTTGAATCGCGGCAGTATCTGGTATATGCTTCGGAGGAAGCGAGACCCCACTAGAGGAATCTTCCGAGCGGCGTAGCTGTGTGCAGTACCGAGGAAGGGATATTGTGTGACCAGGGTGTTGTGGCGAAGTAAGGGAGAAGCTTCTCAGGCGTCCACTGGCTGATATCTGTGGCGCCTCATGGCACATTGTTGCCCTGTCTGTTGACCAACCACGGGTTACCCCACTAGGACTCACTCTAGGACCTTGGAGATTTAGATGGTGGTTCATAGAAAGCTGCTGGCTCAGCTCCAAGTGATTCTCTACATTGCACAACTCAGTGCCTTTGCTGCCCCCGAGCGTAAACCTGCGATAGCCCGAAGGCCGTTGTGTTGATTCCTGGGAATCAAGAGAAGCCCTAGTGCGATTGTCTTGTAGAGAGCGGACTGATGCAGCGGAGCTGTAGCCGCTATCTACTTTTCTGTACGAATGCGATATCCTTCTCGGGCGGGAAACTTCTTGAGAAGTGTCTCTCATGAAGTTCAAGGGGTTTTCATCATCAGATACATATATAGCTTCGTCTTCCACTTCCTTAGCATAGGACTTATGGGATGTTGCGATAATCGGAGATTTCTCAAAAGAAAATGGACTGGCCGGAAAGTCATCGTATCTCGTGACGTCGGGGAATGGTGGTATCTGTACGGTAGATGTAGACGGCTTACTTCTGAAGAGACTCGGCACATGCTCGCTGTTAGGGCCATCGTCACTGGTGTACTCCGACACTGGGGCGGCCACAGGGCCCCAGATTCCTTCAGGTCTACTTTGACGGTCACCCATGTCCGAAGAACTTGATGTAGCCATACTGGCTGGATCATTTTGAGTCAAATAATCTCTGCTACAACGTAGCTCTGTTGTATGTACGGCGCTAGTCTCCTCAGTTGGGCTGCTTGGCCTGAGTCGGCTTCGGTCGCTGGGGCAGGGGGAAGCTGAGCCGTTCACTACCCGCAAAGACCCCAGCTTAAGAGCTCCTAAATGGGTGTATCCGAAGTCACCAGGCGTTGGCGGGCGAACCTCAGCAAGCGGATTAGTATGTTGCAAAACAGGATCATCGCAATCTATTAGTGGCCACTGGAATAGCTGAGGCGGCTCGTCTGTACAGCTGGGCGAAGACGCTAGCTCTTGTCCGATTGGCGATGGACATTGTTGAGCCACACCTCTTACTGATCGTCTCGTGGCGATTCCGGGGCGCGTGAGTAAAGAGCGCCGGCGGATCAAGGAGAAGCCTGGGCTATCTATCATGAAATGGGTGTTCGAAGACGCGGCTTCTTCAAGGCTGCTTTGGTGTATGGCGCTTCTTGTACCCTGCGCAGCTGAATGGACTGAATAGGACCTCCTTGGCGGTCCTGGTTGAACCGACGGAGATCGAGGGGCACTGTGTAAGGTGCTTGACTGCCTGGATGGCTGAAAAGAAGCTCGCCTGCACAAAGGTCCCGGTACACCTGAGTGGGAAGTGTCTAGACGGAGGCGAACATGATCTGGCTCTCCGGATAAGGGCTGATGCGTTCCAGGTCTGTTGACGCCCGTCCATGGCGTCTCAGACTGCAGTGATATCGGGAGGATTGACTGCGACCTTCGGTCATTGGATTCAGGGTCAGGCGAACTGATAGGAACGGAGGCAACAGTCGAAGAGTCTTGCCAGGGAGCACGGTTGGGTGCCACGGGAGAATCGACGCCCGAAGTTTGATGGGATGAGCGGCAACTTGCTGAACGGGAGGTGAAAGTCGATGGTGGCTTTGACAACCGGTTTGATCGGCGCTGTTTGTTTCCACTTTGTATAGAGAGGAAACTTCCCATGACTTGCGGGCAGTAGTAATGCCCAGTAGAGGCTGAGACTCCTGATACTGCCAAATTAAATCATATATGCATATACCTTAGAGAATATACAAGCACGACATGTGCAGCCACACAGATGTTAATAGTTTGAGAAGAGCATCCAGGGGGTTTTCTTTCTTTCTTCTTTTCTTTTTCGCCTGAGTGTTTCGAATTATAGGGTCAATCTCCTTTCAATGCTGTAGATGCTGACGTCGACGGCTCGCTATTGTCTGCACATGCCACTGCCTACAGATCTCGGCTGAAGACGGCTTGTTCCAGACGGACAGGCTTCGAAGAATTTTAGATAGTCAACCAAGGATAGAAAGGTTTCCAGATTCTCCCTTGGAAGGGTTGGTGGCCTGCCGCGGAGATGAGAAGGTCCAAGGTCGTGGAAGTTGTTGTAGGAATGTGGGAGGATAGTTGAATGAAAGACTCGTGATTATATTTAACGACCAGAGAAGGTGGGCAAAGAGATATTTGGCCAGGATAAAGACGTGATGATGTCGAGGGACGAAGAGGCTATACAAGGTCGGTTGGCGCAGTGAAACAACAGCACCATGAAAAACAAACACAGCTTATCCTTGAAACAAGATGAAGAAATGTACCTGAAGGGGGAAAAAAAGAGGGAAAAAGGAAATAACGAGAAGCCAACAAAGAAGTGGAATACGAGCAGAGTCAAACTGGAGACAAGTAAGGGAAAAATAAGATACATAACCAAGTGGAGAGAGACAAGATTGTCATGGTTGAACATGCAAGAAACACCTAACAATGACGAATGCGTTACCCACTGGCGCTACAGCTCCCGTGGGGAACGGAATTGACGGATCATCGCGGTCGGAGGGCGACGAAGGTTGAGATGCGAGCCAGGTTGACAAGGCCATTGTACTGTACCTACAAACGTAAACCCGGTGGGTATATCCCGTAAGTAGTAGCAGTAATGAGGGAGAAACACGACACCATGAACGAACACGGACAGGCCGACTGTTACAGAAGCCGAGATGCAGCCAGAAGCACCTAAGAGGCAAAGCAGAAAATAATCCATCGAATGATGAACCTTGGAATTCCGAAGTCTTGCTTAGTTAGTTTGGTTAACCACCTAACTAGTTCTATCCTTCGAGTAAATAGTGGGGATTAGTATCTCAGCTATGGAGCATATAGTACGGAGTAGTTGGGAGAAGAATCCAGATCGCTATCCACCTACAGAGTAGTAGGCCCTACACAGAACCTACTAGTAGTAAGGTTGGTCTACCTCCGGTAGTCTGGCCTAGGCCAGGGGAGCGCTTGATAGCATGATTGGATGGCTATGATGAATCTTGGTCGTGCCGCAAACAGGAAAACCTAAAAAACAGTTCAGCCACGATGATGGTCATTGCATAGAAAAAGTTAAGAAATAATGATCGTCGGAAAAATTGTAATTATCTGGTGATTATAAAATAGTACATATTCAATGTTAGAGTGCTACTAATTACCATGAACTTCATTGTTTCTTTTGATATTTGTTATATGTAAACAAATAAATGGCCAGAAGGTAGAAAGAAAAAGAAAGAAAAGGGAAGAGGAAGAGGAAAAGGAAAGGGAGGAGACGGAGTATAGAACCGATCAGTACTGAGTACATTGATTAGGTACAGTACATAGTACTACCTTACACAGTAGCGCTCAGGTTAATATGGCTTACGTACTGTACAGTCATTATAGATACATGCCCGATACAACCCGGAGGAAACTTGAATTTGGTACGTATGGACATACATACGAAGTACTCCATGCGTAGGGGACTTCCACGAACTCAGCCACAAACCCCCACTCCATTATCGGCATCTATGATCTGTTCATTATGCTGGCGATCTTTACCGCTCTCTACACAGTAAAACCCTTTTTTTTCTTTTTCTTTTTCTTTTTCTTTTTTCTTTTTCTTTTTCTTTTTTGTTGTCCTTTCTCTTGGCCAGTTCTGGATTCCGTGTTCGGGTTCGCCGAATACTCCGGAGTAGTGCTGTGGACTCTTCGTTGGATTGATGAGCACGTACTACTGCCGCAAACAATAAGCCTCGTAAATGATCATTCTTAGCCCAAGAACGGCGTTGGGTTGAGACAGCGCAAACCGGATCGGTGTGCATCGAGAGGAGTCAGCAGAGATCACGTCAATGCAAAAAGTGTCTGCCGCAGATGTTCTCTGTCGGTCAGTGGAGGTAGAATCACACCGCGTCTTTACCAGCCGCATGGCATCATCTTCTCTTTCGAGCCAGAAGGTTGTATCGGCCTTTCCTCTTCTCACACCAGAGGAATTCGAATGTGCCTGTCGCGCCTTCCTGGATCGCATTCATGTGTTGGGCAGCTTAGATGGGGTGGGATGGTCCTCGATCCGATTTGTACAACAGGTAGCGGCTGCCTTTTCTTTGGGGTTATTCCAAGATCCGTCCAATGACAATTGATCTGGTCATCGATGGCTGTGTTTCAGAATTGAATGCGGGGCCTTTTCTTTCTTGGGTTTGCTTCTACACCTACTCTTTTCTAACTATTTCTTTTAGGCAACCGGTGCAGTTCTGAAGATATCTCGGAGCATTCACAATACCAATACGCCCTACTACGACACCCTGTCCGCATCTGTAGATATTGAAGAACCGCAAGTGGAAATTTGTGAAGATGATCCTGTCCGTGGAGAATCATTAGTGCCATTGTACATTCTTCGTGTTATCTGACCAGTATCTCAACAGGAGGCCCTCATTCGCGCATCCCACTCTAGCAACTGTTTACACATAGAACATGACGTTATTCTCTCCCCCACATACCAAGTCCCTGTTTTGTATTTCACATTACGGCGGGCCAATCATCCCGGGCCGTTGGGGATAGACGAAGTCTACCAATATCTGGTACCAGACCAGTACAGAAAGGAACTTCAAGATGTCGGTGTCATGGGTGGCATTAGTTTCGGAGTATGTGCAAATGACTCTTCGGGCCATTCCGTCCATTATCGCTTATGATTCGTAGTACCATCCACAATCCGGAATTCCGGCGTTCTTCGTTCACCCATGCAACACCGCAGACGCTATGAAGCAAATCGCAGGCCAGCAGCAGGTTACGCCCGAAGCGTATCTCGTTATATGGCTCGGTATGGTTGGCAATCGCCTCAGTCTTCACCTGCCACATGAACTCTTTGCAAAAGAGGGCGTGCAAGAACTCCAAGGTCTAGGTTAAATTGTTTCGAAGCAGGCACAGCCTGGCAAGGGTTCTCTGTTCCTCCCCACTCTTTCCCGGCCAGTTTGTGGTCGGGAAAGCTTAATCTTCGTCCGACGAATCTTCCATGGGCACATCGCTTTCCTCGTCCATTGGGGCTTCTCCTTCATCACTTTCCTCCTCACGGGGTCGTTTGACTCCCTGAGATGCAGCCTCCCCATTCATTTCAGTGGGTCTTGAGGGTAATGCGGTTGAACCAGGAGGCCCGCTGAAGATGGACTTTTGAAGATCCGTTGAGGCACCTCCAGCTGGTGCAGAAATAGTTGTCGACACATTGTAGGCCCCACGGAGCCTAGCAATCACATCCGATGTACCTTTGGCATAGACAAGTTTCTAGATCCCGCATGAATGAGCATGGCATGTCCTTAATGGCACAATATGGGGTGAAACATACCATTTGCTTCCCAAAGAATTCAAAACCTTGAAGAGCGCGCATTGCTTGAGTACTCGCTTGCACGTCTTTGAATACAATATGGGCTTGGCCGCGCATCTTTTTTGTTTTCATAGCCACGACATCTAGAACCGTACCATAGGTGGAAAAAAGCATATAGAGCGAGAGACGTAGGTCATATTTGGGAAGCTTATCCGGAAGATTGGTACAATAGAGGCTGAAAGATCGTCAGAAGCTCTGGTGTCGAATATGGGGAGAGGGGATTTTCACTGACGTTTGATTTGGAAGACCAGCGGCTGAACCGGGTTTGCCCGAAGGATTATTGCGCGTAGGAGCTATTTTAGATGCCATTGCTTGTCACTTGTAAGCTTTGAAGTTGCTTAATATGAGGCGATGTAGCGGGCAAGGCCAGACAGAGGAGAATGTTCTTAGGAGCTAATTCGAGAAATAAGGGCGGTGATACTGGATTCAGCGGATTTGTTGCGGTACGGGAGTATCTAGCGTGCTATTGGACCAGCTTGAGAGAAGATCATGTGATATATTATATAATCACTCGCCGCGTCATTGATGGTTAAGTCCCCTCAGGGACGCAGTTAACTGCATCAACCATTTCAGAAGCAATCGGTATTCACAATTGACCGACAGTAGAGAGCTCCTCCTGTCGTCTGGACTACAATGGCTACCCCGGAAGTTCACCACCTCTTTCATAACCCCATTGCTGATCACTCATTTTCCCCTGATAAGTCAACGCTTGCAGTTGCTCGGGACAGCAATGTGGAGCTATACCAGAAAGCGGGTAACAAGTTCTCGTTAACCGATGAACTCAAAGGCCATGAAAAGATTGTGACAGGTGTTGATATCGCTCCTAATAGTGGCCGGATTGTTACCTGTTCGCAGGGTATTTGCTTCCATTCCCTTTCCTGTTCTATCTTCTGACCCATCACTAAATCTAGATCGCAATGCATATGTTTGGGAGCGAACCTCCGCTGGCTGGAAACCGACTTTGGTCCTGCTTCGGATCAACAGAGCTGCAACCTTTGTGAGGTGGTCTCCATCCGAACAAAAGTTTGCTGTTGGCTCAGGGGCCCGTGTGATCGCTGTTTGCTACTTTGAGGAAGAAAACGACTGGTGGATTTCGAAACACCTGAAGAAGCCTATACGGAGTACCATCACCACACTTGCTTGGCATCCGAACTCTGTTCTTCTGGCTGCAGGCTCGACTGATTCCCACGCGAGAGTTCTTTCCAGTTACATCAAGGGTGTTGATACCCGCCCCGAGCCAAGCGCCTGGGGAGAACGTCTCCCATTTAACACTATATGTGGAGAGTTTTTGAATGACTCGGCGGGATGGATTCAAGGAGTGTCCTTTTCTCCAAGTGGAAACGCGCTTGCATTCACTGGACATGACAGTAGTGTCACTGTTGTGTACCCTAGTGCACCCGACCAACCTCCTCGGGCTATGTTGAACATCACCACTCGCTTCTTACCGTTCAATAGTTTGATCTGGAACGGAGAGAACGAGATCATCGCTGCTGGCCACGTGAGTTCACTCGACGTGCCCCAGTCAACGCTCTGTTTTACTTACTCGAATAGGATTGCGAGCCGTACCGCTTCCATGGGGACGAGAATGGATGGCAGCTTACAGGAACTATCGAAAACAAGTCCGGTTCCGGTGCGGGTGCTGTTCGCGAGGAGTCTGCTCTTAATATGTTCCGTCAAATGGATCTCAAGGGACAGACCCAGGCCGATACCCAACTCAAGACGGTCCATCAGAATACTATCAACACTGTTCGCATATATGAGGAGGCGAACGGAAATGTCAGCAAATTTAGTAGTAAGTTTTGGGACTGTCTGCATACGCCGATTCATAAGCCAATTAGTCTTGAAACTAACTTTTCCAACAGCGAGTGGTGTTGATGGCCGTGTGGTAATTTGGACCATATAGGTTGAACCAAATGAGTCTGTTTGGTGCTCAGTATCATTCGACATATGACCAGTTTCGTAAGATGGGGTAGTCTCGCATGTATATACATAAACATGGATAGCTAAGCAATACAAAGAAGAGAAAGGCCCTCCCATCCATAGTGTAGCCTGTAACCTGTAATTGTACAGTGATTTATGGTACGACCTGGTGGGTAGATTGAGTGTCGATTAAGTGTGCTATCAAAATTACAGGGATGTTGCACATACTACGGTAGACTAAAGCGAGCTAACAGACAATGGACCAAATTTCCGCATTTCTCACCGAAATCCTAGCGTTTTACATAAAGCCACAGCTACCACGCACCTTAAAAGCCCCCGAACCTCACCACCACCCCCAGAATTGGAACCCTAGCCTAGGGTAGCCAGGATACTAGAGCTCTAAAATCTAGAGAAGGCTATAGAGATATAGCACTGGCACCCCTGAGTATCTAATTCTAGCATCCCTAAACATCTAATACTGGTATCTCTCAAGATCCAGGATCTCTTGGAGATTCTTAAAGGCGGTCAATATCTCGGGACCGGACTAGTCAATAGTCCAAAAGTATAGAATTGATTTAGAGTATATAATTGATTGAAACTTGGGATAGAGCCTAATAGATTTAATTAGTTAATATAAAGTGCGTTGGTATTTGTAAAATTGGTAATATTTTACATTGTCCGTTAGCTCGATTTAGTCCGCCGTAACATACTCTGGTAGTATGTAACAGATACCAATACCTGTGCAATACATGGCTCCCGCTAGTCTCTGATAGGCATAGACTTCCCCAGATTCTCGACGTCACTCCGATTATAGGTCACGAGCCGCATATCTCCAGAATTGATGCCCTTACTGCGGTCTCTTGACAAACAATGACAACAACCATGAGGCCCGAAGACAGAGCTGTCCTTTATGATGATGATGGAATTTGATGAAGTTTTTACAGTTACCCTCACTGTCTTATCTATCCTACTATACGGAGCGTGCTCAACTGCCAGTCTGGTTTCCTCTAGAACAAGCGGAGCTTCTATATATGGCGAGAGCGACAGAGCAGACAACACAGTCTCGCGCGAAACATTTGCCTCTTTAGAAGAACTATCGCGCATTGTTGACGTGTCGTACTGTGTCGGCAGTACAGGAGTACAGAAACCGTTCCGGTGTTTGAGTCGGTGTAATGAATTTCCAGGCTTTGAGTTGGTCACCGTGAGTTGCTTTATTCTTTTCTTTTCTCTTTGTTTCAAGGCCTTGACTCTCCTCTGACATCGCGGTACAACTAATCATCAAAACTGGCTAGACGTGGAGCACCGGTCCCTTCCTCTCGGATTCGTGCGGCTACATCGCATTGTCCCATTTCCCACATGCAAAGCGCATAATTGTTGCTTTCCGTGGCACTTATTCAATCACAGACACTATAATCGATCTTTCAGCCTATCCGCAGGCGTACGTACCATATAACCCTAATGGCCGGGAGGATAAGGAATTGTTACGGTGTCGTAATTGCACAGTCCACGCGGGATTCCTGGCCGCGTGGCTGAACACCCGCCCGATCATCCTCAAACATGTTTCAGCAGCAAGGAAACAGTATCGTGACTACAAAGTGGTGCTTGTCGGTCACTCACTTGGTGGGGCAGTTGCTGCGCTGGCGGGGCTTGAGATGCAAATGCGAGACTGGGAGCCGCAGGTGACGACGTTTGGAGAGCCTAAAATCGGAAACAAGGAATTTGTCAATTTTCTTAACGAGGCGTTCAAGCTCGGGACAGCGTCATCATCAGGCAATGCTCAGCAGTGGCAATTCCGGAGGGTAACTCACGTGGATGATCCTGTGCCTCTCCTGCCACTAGAAGAATGGGGATACGAGATGCATGCTGGAGAAATATTCATTTCAAAGGCTGTTCTCCCGCCCTCAGAATCCGACGTTATATTCTGCGATGGGAATAAAGATGCGCACTGTATCACCGGGGAGCAAAGTAACCTGAGAGCCATGCTTCACGAGATCAAGTTGAATGCGGCGAAGCACGAGTGGCGTCATAGAGTGACAGACCTGACAGATCAGGTGGTTAGCGACAGATCTCCATCGATGACGGACTCTCAAAGCGACGCCGAAAGGCAACAGATACCGCTTCGTCTCCCGTGGAACCTTATTCCTTCCAGATACCGACTCTGGGAGCTATTCTTTGCTCACCGAGACTACTTCTGGCGGATAGGCCTCTGCGTTCCTGGTGGTGATCCAACAGGCAAAGAAAAAAATCATTACTCCTAGATGCTCGAAACATACTAGAGGACAGATTATTGGTAATGCGCAATGAGGGGGTGATTGAGACTAAGCGTCTTTGTAGCCTTTGTTTGTCTTATTTCTGATGGACATGAGCGCATTGTTCACGATATGGAGGTACATGATTTTTGAACTAACTCAGAGATTCTCTTTGACGACTAGATTGCCTGTATGTATGCATAGTTGCTGGTCCACTGACTGAGAGATAGAGTTAATGACCCTAAGCTTTGGACAGAGACACAAGGGGTGTTATATATAGCATGCAGAGAATGTGATTCCTACTGTTAGCTTGCACTGCATGCCTTTAATTACTAATTTCAATGCATTCCTGACCAAGATAGCTAGTAGCATATTGAGAATTAAGCAAATGCAGACGGCGAAGACTGGGTATTTACAGAACGAGCCATTACAAACACAAAATTTGAACTTAAGCAGTACTATGGATACGTGTAGTATAGGTATGCCTCAATGGTAAATGTAGGATATGTCATAGAATCATGCCCAGAACGCAGTAAGCAATAAGAGAAGCAGGCCCCAAGGGAGAATACGACAAACTGTGACTCGAAATGGCAAGGTAGGCGGGGAAGCAGAGAGACAATACAATACCCTTGTTTGCACTGAAATACACTTCACTTCACATGCCCCAAGCTTGGGATAATGACTGGCCCATATTTGACAACCGTCCCATGGGATCCGTCGCCCTGAACCATAAAATCCACGGCAAGATTCAGGCTGTCTCCATGGCCCGCAGGTGCTTGGCCATACATCGCATTGACAGTTTCAGGATCATAGGCTACGATGGCAGCGTAATTCCGGCGACCCATCAGCTTACGGTGTTCACGAGCCTGTCCCGTGACGTCGGTTTGGAATATTTCCATCATGTCCTCCTTCGTATCAGTAGGCTGCGAAGGAGAGGAACGATGCCCATTTGCCGGAACATAAAGCGGCTTGTTGCTGCTGTGAAGGAGCTTGATGACATAGGAAGGCGGGGGGTTGTTCACAACCGCGGACGATATGATTTGATACATGGTCTTGTAGTCAGAAGGATGGGCTGGATCGTGGACCAATCCTGCACCACACACGTTGACAGATCCGGAAAGAAAAGTCATACGGAGAAACTTCTGATGTGCAATGCCCTGGAGAGTGCGAATGAGGTACGTTCGCTCAAGGTCCTACATATACATAGAACTATTAGGCCTGAAAAAGAGTGAGGCTCAGAGAACATCTTCAAACGCACCTTGGATTCATGAGTCCACTGATCTCGGAGCTCGTCCATCAGGTCGAATTCTCCGAACGGACTTAATATGCCTCCCATAAGGCCAGACTTGCCTACAGCACGCTTGACAGAGTCGAATCCAGAACCTACCATTTCCTTTGCGCCAACCACGCCCGCCACAGAGCTCGTAACTTTTCCAAGGACGTTGTATGCACCCGTAACAGCTCTTTTACCCGAAGCAACAGTGTTTGCAATATGTTCCGCAGTCTCTAGGCGTGGGTAAATGACGGGCACGGAGATCATCCACAAACAGTGCTGTACAGATGGAGGTAGCATTGCAACTTTGGGGAAATACCTTGATATGTAGGTCCAGCGACAACTTGGTGTGGGTTGCGCTCCGACCGACAATCAAGGCCAACGACAACCACGGCCGGCCCCAGGAACTTAACAAAATGCCAGCCGGTGCCAGTAATGGTGAATAAATCCATGTCGGTGCTAGTATTGCGCAGCAATTCAAGTGTGGTATGGTGCTGGAAAAGCAGATACATCTCAGTCCCAACGCGTCCAATGTTTTTGAACATATTCGAGAACTGCATATGTTCAGGGTACGACCCGTAACCGTCAAATCTACCGGACGTCAGCCGAGCCTACAGTATTATTCAGGAGAGACGTTTACTCACATGTCATGATCATCAATTTGGCAAACATAAGGAATCTGGGCGAATGACTCTCGTAGGTAAGGCTGATCGAAGTGGCTAGTGTAGTAATGGAAGTATGCATGAGAGACGTCTTCCTCATGTGCAGCAGTCCAAGGCATGCTTTTCCTAGCCTCTTTGCCGCGGATTGCAAGCCACTGTTTGAGCGAAGGGATCTCCTTCCACATTCTATCCGCATAGATCTGTCCGCCCAGACACAGCTGAGCATGGAACCCCCCGATTTCATTGTGCTTCTGCATGATGTCCTTCCACATATAACTCACCCCCCCAAGACGAGACCGCTCATTAGCATTTACGTTGAGGGAAAAGTCATTCCCCGAAGTTGTGATAAAACGCCAATTCGTTTCATGTCGACCAGCGACCAAGAATTCGTAGCGCGTGCAGCCCAGATGTGACGTGATTGCGTAGGTCCATTTTGCGGGGCCGGATTCTTCCATCTGCAAGTCAACGTCGTACTTGTAGAACGTCCACCTTTGATGAACGGCGATAGCGGATGCCTTCAATTGACGCGGATTCGGTGACAAATCAACGCTCTGATGGATATGAATCGTCGGAGGCTGCGCGGCGTCGGTAACGAGTAGAATGGAACCTAGCCAAATACCATGCTCCAGATTCATATTGACATAGCGCAGGTATGGTCCAAAGTAAACACCATTCGTTGGTGCAGTTTTGTATAAATCCACCCCACTACTTGGTGGAGGACCAGTAAACCCTGCAACAACAGGTGACTGTAGACTCTCATAACCTGGAGTCAGAGGAATGCCAGGGGACGCCAACGGTTTACCAAAGGCCGACAAACCCGGTGAAGCGAGAGGATGGCTGCTATATATGCTTCCTACCGGTGACAAAGGAGTTTCGTTGAGGTTCAATGGTGTGGGCCCCTTGGGGAATTCCCACTGAGTGGACTGAGTTGGGAGGTGAATGTAATAGTACTGGCCTGAGTTGGGGTCCATATGAGCAATCCATCCTTCGGGAAGTGGAGGGGGGGAGGCAGGTGGGATTCCCGAAGAGGTAGGTAACACTGTAGCTTGAGTTTCTTGAACTGTCTGCTGCTGCCCATCCAGGACGCCGGTTTGCGTGCCATTCTGTAAGGATTGCTCTACTGGTTGTTCTTGCCTTGAGTCATTTGCAAACGCCGGGTGATCCTGAGCCGAAACTTCGAGTGCCGCAGAATTTGTGGCTGCATTGATGGGCGCCATTGTCGCGGGATGCACCGCTGATGAAGCCTGATGACCTGGGGCTGTCTGAGCGCGCTGTTTTTCATTTGGGTAACCTTGGGACGCGGCCGGACCGGATACGCTGGAGTATGCAGGAGGAGGTGAAGAGCTTATGCGCATCCTTTCTAGATCCTGTTCCAGAGCATTTGACGGGATCCTTGGATGATGCAAAACTTGCGCTGCCTGCCCTGAGCTTGCGACAGATTGGGGAGAGAAAGGACGTCCAGGGAGGTTCTCCGTAGACACAACTTCCGCGCCTTGATATACTGTGGGTGGTCCATGAGGTTGACTCCCTGGCTGCTCCGTTGGCGTCCATGGTCTCTGGACGGGCGGCTGACTCGTTGGTTGTTGACCCACATACTGCTCGGCTCTTCTCTGTGCCGCCGAGCTTGGGGCTTGCAAGCCTGCTAGTGTTGAAGTGCCTGCGATTCCAGAAGCCGCATAGCGTGCCTCAATGTCCGATGCGCTCTGTTGGCCCGGCTCAACAATTGGGGTTTCTGGAGGTGGAGGGGAGCCACGCTGGGCGCGAGTTGTCGACGTCGATGCTGTTGAGCTAATGCGATTGATTGCACTGCTAGGAGTCTGTAGGCTTTGTGCCGGCGGCCTCACGGAAGGTCCTGACGAGGTTGCGGCCTGAGGAGGTGGATAGTACTGCTGACGGTAGTTCGGATGAACAGTCCCATCAAGCTGGGTCCCGTTGGCAAATGCTGGTGGAGCAGGAGTTCGCTGGTATCTCGTTACAAACAGCCCGTCTTTGTCCGGAGGGTCACCCGCGGGTGACTCAGGAAGGGGCTTCGGCACATTGCCTCGTCGTTCTGCCAAAGTAGCCGGTTTAGGCTCGCGACCATCCCGCGGCCGTAAAGCCGCCGGATAGTCCGACCTGGATGGACCGGTGCTAGCAGCAGGCATGGAAGACATGTTGTCTGGATTCGTGGGGGAGCCGCCTGTACGTCCACCATCAACCGTCGGACTTGAATGGCTGGTACTTGAGCTGCGCATTTTCTGGAGATTTGGTCGGTCGTCAGGGTACGGAAGGGGAGCGCCCTGTGGTGCAGGTGATGGGGTGTCTCTCTTGCTAATCCGCAGCGGTCCAACAACGGGGGACTCGACCGGCGATCGCCCCGGAGTATGGATGAACAGTTCCTCGTCGGAGTAATTGCCTTGACGGCCCCTGCTGGGATTCATTGTGAACCGGGGAAGAAGAACCTATTTTAAGTCAATTATATTGCCAATCATGGGTCAATGTGATTGAGGTAACGAGAGCGGGGGGGACCTTTAGGAAACGAAAAGGCGCACCGTTAGAGATGCGGGGGAGAAAGCAACACCTACCGGTTTGGAGAACCCTACGTGCAGTCGTAAGTCACTGGGTTTCACCTCAGGCCCTCATCCGACGAGGAGAGGAAAGGGGCGACAAGTGTGAATAAATAAAATGCAGTATAGTCCCGTGGAAAAATAGGCAGCTTCGTTCCAAATGCTTCGGCGATCACCTCGCAGCGTCCCAGCTCATGGTTTAGCCGCCGAGGGGTTTCTGGTGTAGACGCTTAGCGATCATCATTGGCTCAGTCAGACTGGAGCGCCACTTCTGGAGGGGCCTTTGAGAACAAATCGCATTGCATAATTCCTTGTTGCCCTATCCGATTTTATGTTCTTGCAGACCTTTCTAATTATAATCGACCCATTAGGTAGTTTGTTGTATGTAGGATCGGCCCGCAGCCGATTTAACTCTGCAAATCCATGGGTCCTGCTTGCCTCAGGTTGAAATTACGAAACCTCTCCATTAGAAGGATGAGCATATGTATAATAATGATAAAAAATATTAAGAGTCAAAATCCTTGGAATAAATTAAAAAAAAAGAAAAAAAGGCCAGCCCCAATCCCCCTTCTCATCCGTAACTGACGAACCCAAAGCCACGTTCAGTCAAGAGTTCAATCCAGCCAGTCCATGGGAACGGTCTGCCACCATTATAAGATCGCTGCTGCATCTGGTATTCATACACGAGTTGGAGCATATAGCACGTCGTAGACGCATTATATCCTATCTCATTTCTCTCTAGATTTGAGAGCAGTTCCCATGCCTTGACTTTGAGATCAATTGTTTCCGCCGCAACTCCCGCCAGGAACAATGGGAAGATGATGAAGTGCAAAGGGCTACCTTGGATATCCACGATCATCGCCTCTGCATGTTGTAAGATCATTGTCGTATGGTGATGCACTTTCTGCTCGGGTCTTTCGCCGATGCCAATGCACTGCTCAGGAAATATGCTAGTGTAGTAAAAGAGAAGTGAAGTATGGAAGAGTAAATTGATCTGATGAACCAGACTTAGCTTTGAAGACTGAGAGATAGCACAACGGGAAATTTGACCAACCTGCTCCAAAATCCTTTGTTGTTGTTTTGGTAGCCTTGTTTGATTCTCGGCCCAGCAGCGAATATCTGAAGCGTCCCAAAGTCGCCCCAAATCTTCGTGTAGGTCGATACCCCGCTGCTGTAGATTGATAGGGGGGTATGAATATGATACACCCAGCTTTTTCATGTCCGCAATAACTAACCCTAACTGGACAGCTAGCCCGAACATGTCTTTGTACAGCTGCAACAGTAATGTTAGATTTTCAGGCTCATGCGAATCGATGTCATCGGATCCACTAGAGCCGATAGAGGAAAGAAGAGACTCGGGCCAGGGGAGCAGGTCGCTTTCTAAAACCGTTTTGACATAGTCTCCTGCACCTGCACCGCTGAGAAGGGCAATAAAATCAATGTTGCAGACCCACCAGATGACGAACGGAAATCGCTCCACTCCAAAGGCCGATTGCCTCATGAAAGTAATCTCGAGCATTTGGGATATGTGATAAGACCAGAGGCTCGGCCCATCTGACTTGGCAGCCATGGCCTTTAGAAATTGGATGTCAGCCTTTCTGTACCCGAGATCTCAGATACCGGAGTTATAAGAGAACTACCTCGTGTACGAGCAGTAGAAATTGCGTGAGAAAAAGTCCGTCAGATAGAACATTGTCGCTGTGATGGAGGGTATTCTGTGGAAGTGGGAAATCTCGCTGGTGGGGATTCAAGTCGCTCATATCTATACTGTTCCCTTGGCGATCTAGGCAGAGCTTAGATACTGCCATCACCGCTTGAAAAAGCTTTATATAGAGTGGTTAGTCATTATGAATAGGAGAGGATAGCTGGAAAAATGCGGCATACAGGTGGGCAGATAGCAGCTTCTTGTTCCAAAACCTCGACACCCAGTCCATGGCCGTCTGAACCATCTAACCAGGTCCCCTGGGGGACAAGTTTGGGCCATACCACATTGCGAAAATGTGATAGTAGTATCGCCTCATAATCCATCAATTTGGTTTGCCCCTGCGTATACAAATTGTCTGGAGTGCTCGAATCAGCTGAATATACTGAGGCTGTAGGTGAATATGAGAAGCCTCGAGGACCAGGCTCCAGCGTTTGAGTGGAACCTCTGCGATCTGGACAGAAGTATCTCCTAGCGTCAGGCAATGTCTTGAGTATGACGACATTTGGATCATTCACTTCTGGATTGTCATTCCGCTGGCTACTTTGCCCACTATCTACCAAGGAACTTGATGTTGAGCTCCTGCATTGCTCCCCAGATCGTTCATTGACATGTCCAGGAAGATAAGAAAAGCTCTCCGGCATGATGATAACGGTATAAGTGCCGGGAATGGACAACTGAGCTTTCCTTTCCCGTTCCTCGTCAGATGTGAGTGTCGCGAAGGAAGGCAGCAGATCTGGTAATCCGTAGTCTGCAGAGGGAGGCCTGACAGTTCTACACATATGAGCTGTTGGTAGCGCCTATGTTAGCGTTTTGTACGTAGCATTAGGCAAAAAGAAAATGGAAGACAGTCTCACGGTCCCAAACAAGATTGCCAACTGTCTCCACGTCTGACATCCGTTCGATTACCCGACGGGTATCGTCTCTAAAGGACAAGCGTGGCTGGTAGTCACAATCATGACCCAATCTGGTACATTGCTTGATCAAATCAGCCTGGGTCTGTCGGCCAAGAAAAGAATTTTTAGTACATTACATCGAGGATGTTTCTCGTCACATTTTACTGTACGCCCAGAGAGTTACTACAAACATTCATGGACCTCTTCTTGTTGGAGCAGTATTCAAGGATCATCTCACCTTTACGGCTCTGTTACATCCACATCAGGCAAGTTAGCAAACTAGGCCAGCGCTCATTATATATATAAAAATGATTATGGCGATGGGGGTTTTGGCGCACTCTACACGTCCTAGAATTGAAATGAGCTGAACTTTTCCACCAAGCCATCAGAATCTTAGCGCAACGAACGTACCAGCAACCAGTCCGAGATCTTGGTGGAAACCGACCATGAGAGCGAGGAATTGAATTCTTCACAGGTACAGCAGGATTGACACTGGAGCTCGCTGTTGTACCCTTGGGAGCGATGATGGGTAGCCACAAAGAGCGTTTCCTCGATGTCTTGCCCCGTTTTTTCGACCGCACTAAACTTATGACGGTCATCGTGACAATCTGATTTTCTATCAGTGAGAGTCAGCTCCCAACTCGTACAAAAACAGGGGGGCCATCTGAGACTTACGCGTCAAACTCTATGACGGATACCTTTGGTAAACCCGCCTTTAATCTATGCAAAGCCTAGGCCAAGAATAGCACGAAGAGATGGTAGCGGTAGAATGATATAATGATGAAGCTAGAATGCCAGGTAGACCAAGACCAGACTATGTATGGTACCTACATTTTTGACCTTTGGTCAGAGATGGGTTGAAGAGAAGAAGAAGAAGGAGAAGAAGAAGGAGAAGAAGAAGAAGAAGAAGAAGAAGAAGAAGAAGAAGAAGAAGAAGAAGGAAACAACAGTCCTAGCACAGATTTTCATTGCAAGACAAGCTTAGGCTTCGAACATCAGACAAGACCCAGAAAGCCTCCTGCATCAGCCAGCCTTGTAGTGGTGGCGGTCTTCAGGTACCTTACGGCCTCAATTGAGAGACAAATCGGAAGGTCGTTGGCAACTCCCATCTGGACAGCCCAATATTTGTTTGCCCCTCTAGAGGGCGACGGATTGGATGAAAGAGTTCAGCTTTGGTACCCTAGTCAGCATCTACATTAGCGTGAGAGAGAAAGCAGGACGAATGGCGCATTCCGAGCGCCAGATGCCAACCATGTGGGATGGGTGAAGATTCTTGCGGGTCGGATGATGACCCAGCGCCTTTTCGTCGATTTCTTCTTTTCCTTCATTTGTTTCTTGTATATTCTTTTCCCCTCTCTTTTCCGTTGTTTATTTTATGATATATATAAATGTTTTCTGGGTGGGTCACTTTTTTTTTCCACCAGGAAGTCAACATTGATCAAGATGATGCTTCAAATGAACCAAACGTCAGCCCGGGACCAATGTCATCTGACCCAATACCGTAAACAAAAGCGATTCCCAGCGTCAGCAATGTCTTCCACCTTACTAAGACTAAATTAGCAGCTGGTAATGGTCCGGCAGTTGGGTAGGTTTTAGTCTTTCATGACATGGCAGTAAGTTCCCCCCTGGCGGAACTTTATCAGGTATCCAGTCAGTTTCCCGGAGACCAAGCGTAGCCACCGCGAATCGGGAAGCTTTTTTTACCATTGCACGATGCAACTACGTTAGTCAATACCAGTCATTCCTTCAGTCTATTTCCCCATAGAACGCTCTCTTTTTTCTTCTCCCTTCCCCATAATATATTTCCTCTGCGCATGTTGGGTCTGTTCCTAAATTTTCTACCTTACTAGGGACGATTCTGTAGTGGCGGGGGTCTAGCCCTAGTACAGCTAGTACTGGTAGTAGATAATACCACTTCATGCTGACCCGCAGGCACTAACAGGCTACGCTAATGCTACAGGCACGATGACATGGATAGCACTGACCACTCAGAAATAAACCCTATGAGTTGCGGGCTCCCCAGGCCCTCAGAGACACGCGCCTGGGCCGGTCTGGATCTTCTTCTCCAGGCGGACCCCGTTTTCAATTTGTATAGCCTTCTACTAGTGGACCTAAATATAAAAGCCAGTGCTAAACAAACAGGTGCCAATGGTTTATTCCCGTGTATGATTGGCTGACCGGCTCAACAGAACCATTCACTCATGGGTGCATGCTTGTTTCATGAAGGATCTTGATTCTGCATATGGGACAATTTTTTTTGGGCATCTCATCATCATCGAGCGAAGGAACTCGATGCACCGGTGACCTTATGTGGCCCCTAGGTTCGGTCCGTCACTTCGGGTTCCTCTGATAGGCTGACGCTCACTAGTTGAAAATGTTGTGGCCCTTTCGGATGCTTCCGGTAGACCCTAGCTGCTACCAATGCTCGTTGCGATGTGGACACACTCATGCTTCATTGCATGAGTCTTTCCAAGGCTTGGCCTAGGACTTGCTGCACCGGCCCAGATCTTTCGCCCTCCCTCCAGGTCTTCAGCAGCCCGCACAGTTTTCCATCGATATCAGGCCCAATATCGAGTTGTTTGCAGAGCGTAATGAATGACATTGCAGCCTGCGCACGTTCTCGTCGGATTGCTTCGGCAGTTACATCTACCTGGCGAGACAACATTTCGCCTACCAGGGCCGCCAAGGATTTTTGCAGTTCGCGCAGCTTAGGTTTCTCGCCGTGTGATTCTAAAGCCTTTGTTGCTGCTCTACTGAAGAGCATGCGAAGTTCCTCGTACAGCGCAATCTGCACATTTCTGCCTCCATTATCCAATGTTTCGTGCAAAAGACGCTTTACTTCTGACACATAGCTGTTGGTAGCTGTGTATATAGTCAGCAAAGCCTATATAACGGCAAAGCGAGGGAGAATTGACTTACCTTCAGCCGATGCCGCGCATGTTAGATTGATACATTGCAAGAGGCATTTGACACAAGCCACCAAAATATCCTCTCGGGTTTGTCTATTGGTGGTTAGCCATTGACAGGATAAAGGGGTGCCAAGGCAGTACTTGTTCTTTTGACCGTTGCCCGAGTCGATGTCCATCGAGTCCTCTCCCTCGTCAAATTCACTGAGTACCCGAGAAACAATATCAACAGCATCTGACATCAAATTGAGGTCTTGGCGCGCTTGAGCAATCCCACCAAAAGCAGTGATAGCATGTGGGCGATATGTTGGGTTAATCCGTTTAGCCTCCCTGATTGCGATTGCCTGAGAGGTTGGTAAGTACATTAGGTCAAATACTTTTGAAATAGGGGAGAACGAAAAACAGAAAGAATTTACCTTCATTGTATCACCAGCTTGAGGCTTCTGTAGCCATAGATTCTTTGCTTGGCTGGTGAATTTCACAAAAGCTTTCACAACAACTTCTTTACCATCCCATGTTTTCCCAGCCAATGCTTTCTCCAGAACAGGCCATAGGTACTCGCTAGTAGCAATATCCAGTTCGGAATCAAGTGCCATGATGCCGTTCGCAAACCCCAATGCTGCAGTATGCTTGATGATCCAGCGAGGAGAATCGAGATTGTCTGAAACAAGGCTGGTAATTTCTTTTATATATAGCGATACCGCACGATTACCGCCCACATTATCCTGCCATGTCTTCTCAAATGCTTCTTGGACGTGCTCATCAGTATCGTACTTGGAAACAAATATGAAAGGTAAGGCAGTCGCGGCAAATGCCATGAATCGGTCGTTGGACAACTTAGATGTGGAGTGTAAAATTTCCGCTGCGATGATTCGCTGATTTGCGTCTTCTGCAATCAGATACAGAGTTTTCGCATGTTCAATTGTTTTTAGCACTCGGTCATCTGAAGCTAGTCGCATGAGGTAGCCTATTGATGTACAATAAGATGCACTGACCGTGTCGTTGCGGTCAACGACGTATTTTACAAGAAGCTTGATAAAACGATCCGCATAAGGGCGGAATAGGACTGTTCTCATACTCAGGAGAACTAGTACACGACTGCAGCCCACTTTCGTTGGAAGTCCAACTGCAGAGCGAAGCACGCGCTCCAGACTATCAGCGAATTCCTTCAGGCTAGTTTCGTCGAGCATATCTATCAGATATCGCTCAATAACTTCCATCATTGGAGATGTGCGTATGCTGGACAGCCTCATTTTGTCGATCTCTTGGCCTGTTAATCCATACTTGTCCGCATTGAGATGGACATAGTTGACTGCTTGTGGCTCTAGGGAACTTAGAGAGTTCAAGAATTGTTCCATCACGCAGGGAACAAATGGGCGCAACAGCTGACCAGGACTTTTCTTTATTATCTGGATTAAAGCTCCAATAGCAAATCCTTGAACCTCTTGAACATCAGATTCCATACCCTTGTCACTCAATAAAAAGGGAATAGTGCCCGCTAGCATAGTATCTGCTCGTTTTGTCTCGGTAGAGCTTGTTTCCAGAGTACGGATCACTGCGTTGGTTATTGTCTGGCAAAGTTTCAGAGCAGCCGCTCGAACTGACTCCTTGATGTCATCTACAAGCTTGAACGCTTTTAGAAAGATTTCCTCCATATAATTAGAGTATTTCTCTGGTTGTCGCCCTTGAATTAAATCCGCAATAGCAGCACAACTTGCCTGTCGAACGCGCCACTCCCGACCGATCAGCATGCTTTTCAACAGATCGTCCATAATTTCATCAAAATGATCACTGATAATTGTAGTAGGGTCCTTGACCAGCGCCTGCCATATTGTGTTCATGGACCGCTGTACATTTGGATTCGGATCAAACCGGTAGCGAAACAATTTCGGGTAAATTTTGGGATTCTTGGCTAGGTAACCATTGGCGCTTGAATCGGAGAATATAGTGCTAATACCCAGCTTGCTAAATGCTGCACGATTGGTCCAAAGGGCATTGTTCGAAGCCAGGGACATGAATCGATACACAAGTGTGGGGTCGCCAGCCTCAGAGGCTAGGTTCATAATATCTTTGTAAGTATTGACTGATGACCCGCCTCCAGTTGGTAGAGCACCTGGCTCGAATAGTTCGGTATCTTCGTTGACTTTACCTCCCCCAAGATTGGAGCCAGCTGCCGTAAAAGAGTCCACCAAGTCGCGTACCAAGTCATCCTTTAGCGTCTGGTCACCGATATCGTACACAAGGCTTAGGCCTTGGGCCCCGGTCTCTTGCACCACTTCATCTCTATCCGCGAGCAAACGTGTGAATGTCCTTTGACATTTACGCAGGCGGGTCTGCATTTGTTGTAGGTGACCACAATTCTTCACCAGGCATAGTAGCCATATGGAAGACGCTTTTCTCAGAGAAGGCTTTGATGCACCGCAATCAGTAATGATCTTGTCGCACATTTCGGCTAATACCGTATCAGAGAGTTGCCATGTGGGGAGCTTTTCGTCGACGTCAAATTCCGTGGCCATAGACTTAGAGGTCCATCCCGCTGCAGCACCACTCAAAGCCTCGCCGACAGTGAAATGTGTTTCTGGGCTACGGATTTCATGTAGGTCGTACAAGGAGTTCAAGAAGTTAGTGAACTGCGGGTCTTTATGGCCAGCCTTCGAAAATGACAAAGATAGGAGGCCCATTGCTGTGATCGCTATTTCACTCTCGGCCTTTGCGTCCGGCTTCAACTTATCGTTGATCGTCTCCCACTCATCGTTTGAAAGTACTGTCGTAGACAAAACTCCGGAAAGACTCAACTGCCCGATGGCAACCTGTGCGGACTGTCGAAGCAAAGAATCGCGTGCGTCCCTAATAATATCAAAAATCGTGCGAATGAATAGGTTGACAGTTGTTTCGGGTGCTTTATATAAAGAGTTGCGGAATGCCAGTCGGCTCAAGATATACGCTAGTGCAAGGACTGCGCCCCGAACTCTAAGCACAACTTCACCAATGGCAAATTTCCAACTCCCTATGGGAACTGAGAGATCTGAAAGGAATTCCCTCAAGTTATTTTCCGAAAATGCAGAGTGAGAGGCGAGAATTCCAAGTGCGCGTGCTGCCAGGTTCTGAAGTTCTTGATCATTACTGTAGAGGGAATTTTTCAACGTGGCCACCTTCGATACCATGGGCTCAACGATGTCGTTCGAAGCTAAAGAGCAAATACCGATGAAGTCTTCTCCGCACTGCGACAGGCCTTTTTGAGCCCCGCCGCTAAGGCCAGAGAGAGCACTTGTCAGAAATAGCAGTACAGCTCCTTGTCGGAGGTTTCGATGTAGCGTTTCACAGCGCACCGCGCTTGTTCATCGGATGTAAGAAGCACGTCCAATTTGATATCCCAATCTTGCTCTATTTCTGTGCTTATATTCGAACCCAAGAATGACTCCCAAAGCAATATGTTGCGAAGAAAAGTGTTTGTGTAGATGAAGGCCTTCTTATAGGGACCTGACAATATCTCTGGTGCAGAAAGACCTGGCACAACAGTGGACGCAGTCGAACCCAGGAGAAAGCGCGCTGCCTCTGAAAAACTCGGAAATTTAAACCATGAAGAGCGTGAGTCAGCTGTCACTGATGTAAACCATATCTTGTCTTTAGTTGGGTTTAGAAGACGATACCAATAAGGGTGCAGCCCTTTCTTGCCTTCTTCTATGACTTCCTGATGCCTTTCAGACCCGCATGCCACGGCCATGAGATCGATCCAGCGAGCCACGACATCGCTATATGGCAAGAACCTATTGGAGAAACGTACAGCGGCATACTGAGTTCGACGAACAATCTTGAACCCAGTTACAGAGTCCTCTTCCCCCGGAAGGCTGTTCATCTGACGAAGCAAAAAAGGTCGCAAACTTTCTTGAAACTCTGTATCCCAGCTATCCACCGAGGAGTTAAGAATGCTTCCTAATGCTTGTTCAATACTCACAAAGATCTGTGCGCTGGAATCATCAGAGCCTAATGATATGAAAAGCCACCTAATGAGTTCGAAGCCCGAGATAGCATTTTGCTCCTCTTGTACTTGAAAATCTACCTTCGGCACCAATATACCGATGCTCTCGTAAGCAAGACCTCGTAAGCTTAGGTCCGTTGCAGGCAGCCTCTGTCCACTGGACCCTGGGCTCGGCCACCCTTGAGATTGAATAAAGTCTCTAAGGCCTGCTATAACCTTCGGCGCGATTTGCCTGAGGTCCGTGGGGGATCCGATGCGAACAACCCACGTGGTAAAACTAAAGATCTGCGTTCGCAACTTCGAAGCCTGCAATCCTTGTGAAGATCTTGCAACATCCGAGAGAAGACCCTCTTCGATCAACCTGAGGATATTAGCTGTCTCTGTCGTAGCCCTGATTGATCTTCCCAAGTGAACTAGAATCTTGATTCGTAGAGCAGTGCGCGCCGGGGTTGCGCCATCAGGTTTCACAGAACCGAAGTACAAGGTAAACAGTCGATTTACAACATCTGTATCTTCAAGAGCTGGTATGAAGCGCTTCAATATTTCCTCGCCAAGATCAGCCAGGCGGGAATTTGGGTCCGCAGACGCCACCAGAGCAGGGAAAAAGCGCTCTGAGTCTGTGAAGGCTCTGCTACCGAGAAACCTTAGAGCCGTAGCTTTAGTCTCGGTAAGATTCAACCCCCCATGTGAAGACGAGTTCCATGTTTCGGATACGGAAGCACCCTTGTTGAGGAACGCGTATTCTGCTGGGGATAAACCCGGACAAGTTGAGGCGTTCTTATCCGCAGGGAAGAGAATCAATAATTTTTCAAACCATGAGGACAAGAACTTAGTGTCCTTGTCGGATAGACCTAGTCGAGTTTTAAGTTGTATGTCTTCGGTGCTGTCCTTCGGCGGAAGCTTCAGGAGAGGTAAAAGTCGTAAGACAAGGTTAAACACAACAGCCGCTTGGTCGTCGGTCGATATTCCAATTTCAGAAATCCCTTGGAGCAATGGAAGCAGAATCTCAATCCTTGCATTGGCTCCCAAGCGATCAATGCCTTGTTGAATATAGATCAAGTCGAAGTGTCTAACGAGCTTGGACTTTTGTTCCTTAAATTGCTTCAGCAAAGCTGCAACTGGAAGCTTAATAGACGGAGCTTGCACTCTGTTGTTGATATGCTGACACACAGCAATTACTTTGTTGCGGACTGCAAGGCTCTCAGAGCCTAACTTTAGCAGTAAAGGAGCCAGATATTTATTGAGCAAAACATCAAGTTTCTCATCTGTATCTGCTAACGCGATTCTAAATTCGACGTTGGATACTAAATTCAGCTCGCGAGCCTCAGAACTTGCTGACGTGGATTGTGAAGCCATAGCAAAAAATGAATTTTTCGATGGGAACGACAGACACAAAGCCGTCCCGGCAGTAGAGGTAGAGGAGAGGTGAACTTGCGATAGTCTGATGTACTACTAGCAGTACCCCACACGTCTCTCCCAGGCAGAGACGCTCACGTCAGTGACGGTCCTGAGGCCAGCAATAAGCTCCTTTCCAAATTAGGAACTGCCAAGATTAGTCATCTTGTATTGTAACTAACGTAATCCATGGGCGAGCGGCCATCCCGGGCGAGTGGCCACGTCAACCAATTTTAACCACGCTTGAAGAATCTATATATTTTAATTACTAACTATGCTACTAAAAGCAGCCAGAAAGTTAAAAGATTTTATTGAATAAGAAGGTAGAATTCTACTAGTAATCTTAGCTATTAAAAAATAAGAAATTTATATTATAACTAAAGTAGTATATA